TTATCAATTTTGCTCGAAGTCTTGACAATACGGTAGTTTCTTTTGTAAAAGCCAAACAAATAAAGCCACCCTCGCGGTGGGCTCCAGTGATGTCTTGTTACTTGAGGGTCTTATATAGAAGCGTGTAAAAATGCAGTGACAATCACAACTACACTTTCATAAGACTAAAAGTTGCCAGCTCCTCAAGTCCACGGTCAACGGATTTTTGTTACTTCTCGGTTGATAACGTGTCGTTCGTGGGTGGTCAAAGAGTAAACAAGTTACCTCTATTTGTTTGAAGAAACTATATAGAAATGCAACTGTGGATTTGTCGTGGATAGAAATATGATAGGTATGTTTCACCCTAGTAGGTCGTGTTTCAACCTATGAAAGTCTGTTTCAACTTTGTCGTGTTCTCCTGTTTCGTGTCTCTCTAACCGTAAAAGAGAGAGGTATCGTTAAGTATACGTGGAGCTTAGCTCAATAAAATAGTAATAGCGAGCAACCTAGTTAATCGTATAACTAGCAGTTACTTTGTTGAAATGATACTTGCACCCTCACTATGTCTTGCCTTAATCTCACTCTCAAATAGTGGGATAGGTTTAGAGTGGAAGTTTAACTTAAATTCGTACTTCACCGGCACTTTGACTATGTCTTGCCTTAATCTCACTCTCAAATAGTGGGATAGGTTTAAAGTGGGAAGTTTCAATGTCTTCAAGGCACCAATGGCCTGCACTTATGTGTAAAGTGGGAAGCTATATTCACAGGGTGTAAAATGGGCTCCTTTTATACCTTTTTGGAGGCCAGATTACTAAGCATGATTCATCACATGGATTGGTAAGAATGTGCTTACAAACCCTACCATTTGGTGTGCTGAGTCAGCTTGTTTACTAAATACATTATAAATACAGTGCTATCTTACAAAGCATGATAAATCAAAGGTATGAGTCATCTCATGGATTGGTAAGATTGTGCTTACAAACCAAGCCTTTTGGTGAGCTGAGTCATCCTGTTTACTAAGAAGATTATAAATACAGTGAAATCTTACAAAGCATGATCAGTCAAAGGCATGAGTCATCTCATGGATTGGTAAGATTGTGCTTACAAACCAAGCCTTTTGGTGAGCTGAGTCATCCTGGTTACTAAGAAGATTATAAATACAGTTGCAAGTCTTACAAACCATGACGAATCAATGACAAAACATGATGAGTCAGGCTGAATCCTTACAAATCACCTTATTTCCCAGTCACATGACCTGATTACAAACATGATCAGTCAGCTAGTGAGAAAGTCTGATGAATAAGCCAAGAAAAATAGAAAGAAATGGAAGGTCACAGAACAAAATAGAAATACATAGAAATCCCCGTGTATGATACGAGAAATGAAACACGAGAAACGAGGCTTCAGAAAACAGACTGATGAATCAATGGAAAATGATAGAATCACTTGGTGATATGGTAGAGTACAGTTCATTATACCTTCCTTATCTTTTGTATAGCACACATGTCATGGTATGAACTGCATACCATGCATGACAGCGTGAACAGTAAATCATCTACAAAATGCAGGTATCAAAGTATAGACTTGAACAGGTAGAAAAAGACGGTGCCCTGAAAGGCTTTGAAGAAGAAAGATACTGTGAGTTAAAATGTCGAGCCGAACATATTGATATTAGTGAAGTCAAACACAGGATTGTCAACATCAGTTGATGATGACGGCGCAGGGCCATAGATTCGATCTAATGTTTCCAACGCAGCATCACAATCAAAGGCGCCAAGTTGAGTAAGGCCATTAGGATGATTGTCGCCATCGAGGGGACTGCCAGGCACATAAGGAGGAAAGGTAAAATGAGTGTTGGCGTCAAGGGAACTCCCAGCTGCGTGGGGAGTGGAGGAGTTGGGAGCGGCGTCAGATGGCTTGAAGGTGAAGTTGGGAGTGGTGACGGATGGCTCGAAGGTGAAGTTGGGAGTGGTGACGGATGGCTCGAAGGTGAGGTTGGGAGTAGTGTTAGCATTAGACGGCTGATGAGGAGAGGGTTGGGGAGTTGTCTCCCCACCATTGTCCTCGCCGTTGTCCTCGCTGTTGTCCTCGTTGTTGTCCTCATCACTGTCCTCGATAGTCTCAGCACTTTTGTATTTCTTGCGCTGAGCTGTGTTGTCGTTACTATTGGTAGCTGCCAGCCTCTTGCGCTTCGTCCCTTTGTCGGATCGAGTCCGTCGGTGAATGTCTTCGATCTCGCCACTCTTGAGCTTCTCATTGTGCTCCTGACAGATCTTCGCGAATTCTTCATCCGTTAAAGTCTTCCAGAATGTAATACGTGTATCCCACAAATGAAAAAGTCTTTCAAGCTCTGGGAGAGCGCTAGAGACTTTGCTAAGGTTCACAAATGGGATGTTGTCGGGCCATCCCACTATTGTAACTTGATAACGTCGCACGATGTTGCGGAAATAGTGAGTCCACTGCATGTTGGCACGAGGTTCCCCAGTAATCTTCCCTATAGTTTAGTGTTAAGCAAATACTTCACGGAGAAGGGGAAAAACTTACGAAGACCACTGTTGATTATCTCGCGGATGGCTGAACGTACATCAGAGACACGATCTTTGTGATTTTTTGCGGCCCCTGGTTGAAGATTAAATTAGCGTGACAAAACAAAATAAAAAAGCTGCTCATACCTTTCATTCCTTGGATGGCGAAGCCCTCCATTTTACTGACCAAGTCTTGATTGTCAATACTCATCACAGAGTGCATGAAGTGCTCAACACCTTCGGTCGTGAAGGTTACACCACGGAGGGGAAGATCGGTTGACCCACGGGTCGTGTATAGGATAGTTTCTGCACCCGTTCGACAACGCAGGCTATTGAGCTAGTATTAATTAATAGTATTAGTCAAACTGTGAAATAAAAAATCAAGGGGGAAACGTACCTCATTCTCCACAGCCTTTAAGGTCTGTGTGATATCGATAATCTTGGACTTGGTGGAGATCCGTGTGCCGGTCGTCTTCGTCTTCGTCCAGTCGGTATACTCCTTCAGCAGGACTTCTTGTTCTTCCTTCGAGAGTGCAAGATACTCATCCTTATGCTCGCGAACTAGTTGTTTGAGCGTGTCTCGACCCTGGTTCCCTGTAAGACATAGTATTAGTGCGTTCAAAGTGTGAGGAAAAAACCAGACTTACGATTCTCACTGTCTTGACCTTTTTTCCAGCAGAACGCGTTCCACATATTCGGTTTGGTGCGCCTCGAGCGTAGTATTCCATGACCAATATAAATCATTTTGTACCCGGCGAATGCTCTTGTGGTGGGCTGATGCAATGGTCTTCGTTGCGTCGTCGAGCTGGTTCCAAGCCTCGTCAAGAGCAACCTTAAACTGACGAGATTTGGCACGTCGTCCAGCAGTAAGCGTGGCGCGTGCCTCTTTGCTCATGGTGACTTTTGGACGGATGCGAGGGTGTTGTGTTCGAACACGCCTCGAGTCATTCTTGCTAGTATAGAAAGATTGGGACACCATTGTCTGCAGGAGGGGAAGCGAAAACAAGTCAGCACAAGTAGCACGCGAGTCTGAATATTTAACACACGGAGACATTAAATTGTCTCTCTGATCCACGATATAAGATCCCACAGTAAATTGACACAGTGTTGCAAACTAAGAAGTCCAACGTGATCTACAATAGTATCAACAATCCAAAGAGGTAAAGCGCACATAAAAAGACCAAAATAGCAAGCCACTTTAGAATGACGGAGAGCACAGACGATTTACGCTAGTGATCGATTAGCATGCAAATATCGCCACCTATAAATATACCACTAACCTCGACAATCTCATGGTTGAGTGGCATTCCTCGAAGGTCTGCGAGAAGCGCCCTTGATAAAACCGAAGCTTGCTCATAGGTCAAATCCCATTTCTGGGACCTAAAGACTGACTCCCACCGACTGCTACGCACTGTTGAAACCAACAGACGTAGCTTAGGTAATGTGTCGTCTCCCAGTTTGAACTGGTCGAGGGCAGTGTCAGTATTGGGTCCGATACTAATCAATGGGGGTTCAAATTTGTGAACATCACGATAGAGTTCTGTCAATGGCTGTCCCGAAAAAATCGGGCCAGGGTCGCTATTGGCATTGAAGACATCCGCTGGCCGGCGTTGACGAATTTGCGAACGTGGAGTTAATGGGTTCACTTTGGTGGCAACTTTCGCTGCCCATTCGGCTCCCTCACGAATCGCTGCCGAATTCGGCTGCTTTGAGCCTGCAACAGCAGGGGATGAATTTTGCAAGTTCTTCAAGAAGGATTTGGGTGCCTGCGCGGAGCAGAGAATACGAGCCCCAGTAGGAACGACAGGTCCAGGGAGGTATTGTGGACCCTCAGTGTTAACGTGAGCAGCGGGAACTTCGAGGGTATGTTAGTGGTGTTGAAAATGGGAAAAAATCAATTGAACTTACAATACTTCGGTGGCTGGATCTTTTCGATGGCACAACGCTTAGTGAAACGCTGGAGATGGGGGACTGCGAATTCTTGAGCAAACGCTTGAACTAATACAGCGACGTCTCCTCCAATCTGCTGAGGCGCTTCATGCAGCTCTCGGGGTGTAATGTAGAGGTCCAAAGCAATTTTCTCCGGTGAGATTGCGTCAGATCCTGCGCATCGAATAAGTAGAGAGATACCGCCGTCAAGACGGTCCTGCATGGTGATCTAAAGAATATGAGATTGAGCCATGAAAAAAACAAGTTCACTCACCGCATCGAACACGTCTTGCAGTGCTGCCTCGCATAGTTCTTTCTGAGAGAGAGTTCTCTCTGACTCGTGCTGTTGGATGGGTTGGAATGCTATGTATGAGGGATGAAGGCCAGCAAATGTCTTGGTTTGATAATGAGTGCCGTCTATCTGGACGTCATGCCTAAGTAATGCTCTGGCGGCAGCCTGACGCTCATTGTTACTGAAACCTTGAGCAAAAGTGGAGCAATGTAGCGCAGCGAGACCAGACATTGTGAACCGGTGTGGACTCTGTGTTCCAGTATCGGACTGCATGGTTGTTGGAGACATGAGCGTAGTTGTACTAGTAGCGGATGTAATGAATTTGGAACATAAATGGGCTAGTACTAAAGGATTAGATAACGCGCAGTGAACAACTTTAACACTGCACAAAGTCAATTTATGTGGACTCTACCTTGGTTGGCAAACAGAAATGTGAACACGTTGGCAGAATAGTCCGTCTCCAAAAACAAGGCTAAATGAGCTTGTACCATTGAGGCGATGGGTTGTTTGAGGGTACATGAAATGACAATGTGTTCTATGTACGGTGCAACACACACTGCCAATTTAGGACTTGGTACGAACATTGCTTAGTAGTAGATTCAATTACAGGAGTATACTTGATTGCAGCAAATCATACCAGCAGTTCACTGTGGCCACTACAGCATGTACTTATTAGTTCATGACACTTGTACTGTGCGCCGATGAGAGTCATTACAGTCGGCTATGCAACGGGGATGGATGTCAAGAGTCGTTGAAGTATGCAGTGGTGGGTATTGGTTTCAATGACTCTTCACAATACGAGTGTCATGCACTCGTATTGTGAAGAGTCATTGAAGTATGGAGTGGCAGGTATCAGTTCATGAAACTCGTACTACTGTGTATTGGTACATTTCATTTAACCTATTGGTTCATGACACTCGTACTGTGAGAGTCGTTGAAGCATGCAGCGGCAGGTTCATGACACTCGTACTGTGCGGCAATGAGAGTCGTTGAAGTATGCTGCGGCAGGTATGGTTCATGACACTCATACTGTGAGAGTCGTTGAAGCATGCAGTGGCGGGCATGGTTCATGACACTCGTACTGTGCGGCAATGAGATGAAGTATGCAGTGGCGGGCATGGACACTCGCTGTGTGGTGATGAGAGTCGTTGAAATATGCAGTGGTGGGTACTGGTTCATGACACTCATACTGTGCGGGGATGAGAGTTGTTGAAGTAGGCTGTGAGGCAGAACTGTCAATAGTCATTGAGATGTATTCAACTACATGTATAATAAGTACATGTCGAAAAGACAACATGCGCGCGTTAGTCAACGATAGAATGTAAAAAGTCAGCCATATCCTCTGTGATTATGCCGTGTGCTCCTCGCGATCAATAGCTTCAATGTCAGTGTAGTCAGAACTAATAATTGCGCTAATGTCATCTGCAGCGAGATGAAAATAAATAAGCATGAAAATTTGGGGGGCGGGGGGGAATAAGCTTGCCTGACTCCATGTGGGCATTGAGGGTCGTTGACAGATTCTGGGCGGGGGGGATATCAGGGTTGTCGAATTAAGTTGGACACGGACGCCAACACCCCTGACACCCGAGAATCCAGTGAGGCATTCAATGCGATCTAAGCGATGCAAATGGACAGCGTTGATGGCGGCACGCGAACACCATTGGCGCTGCAACTCCTCAGCAAGTTTCGGGTCCGAAAGATGGAGATCCTCTATCACGGCAGTTGTTTGGACTTGTTCAGCATGAATAGCGGTGCGTAAGCGATGAATTTCGACATTAAGTCGCGTGATCTCTTCATGTGCTCGACAAAGCTTGAAGTATTTTGTAGTTGCTTCTCGATGGGCTGGTTTGGCCCAATCCTCGCTGCGAATATCGGTGCGTGAGTGTCGTAAAAGATCGAACTCGCCCAGAAAGCTATAGTCAGCGATATCTTTCCATGAAATCTTCGGACGCGGGGGATTTAGGGCTATAGCTTGAATATTATAACGATTGATCGCATTTCGAATGGCTTCCGAACGCCGTTGCAAAGCCTTGCCGATCTGTTGACGTAACTTGTACCCTAGAAAAAATATTAGAGAGAAACTGAATCTCAATAAGCAACTCACCTGTCCCCGACAATGACAATTTAGAAAGCTCAAACAATCGCATCACTACGAGCCGCTCCAAATCATCGAGTGCGGTGCGGTACTTGCCAAGACAAGCTTCCATCTTGAATCGGTTGTATTCATCACCGCCTATCTCCCACCGTCCCTCTACAGCGAGTTGGAGTTCAATGTGCACCACTAGCATTTCAGCATGCTGTAACTTGGCGTAAGACGAATCAACGCGAATCCGAGCTTGGGCTAGGGCTTCATTGATCCGCTCCAAGCTGCCGGTTGCAATTTCCGTAAGAGCATTGTTGGCTAATTCACGCGCGGAATCCCAATCAGTCCTGAGTTGGTTGATGTTGGCAACAAAACAATTACATAGCAGACAAAATGGACGACTAACTTTCGTTCGGCTAATTCATCGAGTGCCTCAACGTATCGGATGCAATTTTGGTCTCTCGTAGGCGGCTGTTTCAAACCATCCAGATAAGCGCGTTCTTGAAGTATGTACCGAGGGAAATCGTCATCAGTAATATCCAGCTCAGCTTTGATGGCAGACAGTTCGACGGTGAGTGTCTGAACTGATTTCAAAGCCTCGCGATAGTGGTTCCAGAGAAAATTGCCTAATGTGTATTAGCATTATGATTGAGACACAGGGAAAAACTTACTGAGAGCGGCGTATTTATTGTCATTCCAAAACGTAAAATGTTGATTGATTGTCTGATGCCGATGAAACGTGCTTGCATGCCGGGTGCCACAAGCGAGTGCGTTCGATGCTGAAAATATGTGCTCGCACCCCTCTCCTTCGCTGTGTCCGGTTCCAGAAATGTAGAGTGGATGCCAGTCGAGTTGGCATTTCCGATTGTGAGCGTGCCCATGAAAGGCCCCGACCATAAGACGAAATCCAAGCTGGTGTGCACGCGACCCTAAAGAACTATTACTTAGTGTCTTCGTAAATGCGCACCCGATATCATAAGCACAAGCGCCGCCCTTGCCATAGACAGCAAGAAGCTTGTCAATCATAGCAAGCGGATATTTCACCCTAATACATTAGTAGTAAATGAAATTCAATTGATTAGCGACAAACTTACAATTCACCACTTCGGATCATGTCGCAGCCTAAAAGCACCAAACGATGGCGGCATGCCGCAATGAAGATGCCCGATTCGTCAAAGACAGAAAACATTTTCTTCCGCATTTCTGGGCCCGCATTTTTCCATCGATCTGCACAGCTGAATGGAGCAGGGTTAGTTTCCGCTGTCGTATCATCGATTAAGGCATCATCGCCTCGATTAGACATAGCCTATACAATATAGTGAGAAAATTCGGGTACAATTACTCAATACTCACCGCATGCCCTCTGACTTCGCCGTTGAATTTGTCGACAGTGTCCGGATCAATCCAAATATCTGACTGGACCTTACGAGAGTCGAGTCGCGCATTTGTCCCGTATATCGTGGAGTCCCACCTCTTCAAACTGTTGTTGCCGTCCATTGTTACAAGCCAGTCAAAAGGAAGGTTGGGCTCGTCCTCCAGCTTGTAAAAGCATGCTGGACATGCATTTAGAAGACGCCAATTAGGCGTGTCGCGTTTCAGAGCTGTGCGAAGACGTTGATCGATGCGCTGAAGAATTTGTAGATAGATGTCGAAAGCAGCCGATAATTGGGTAGTGAGGTAAGGTCGGTAAGGGATCTGTCAAAATCTCATCATAAGTTGACATAATAGATGAGCGACAAGCCTACATCATGAAGAAAGCACAGTGCTTTGCACTGCGCTTGAAAACTGAATGTAGGACATACTCGGTGTGTCTGGCGGTATGCAGCTAGAGTGCGCAGAGAAATAGCGACAGTGGGATACAACGGTGTGCACCCAAGATAGCCATGGTAGATCAAAGCTTCATTAGGATAGTGGTGGTGGGGCTGTGATTGAAGGGACGAGCGCCTTCGCCCTGCGCAAATACATCAGCGATGACAAATAACAAGGGTGATACGTACCAAAGATGTCGATGAGCTCAATTTCGCTCAGCGAAACACGTTGACCATCATGATCCGAAGGTGATGGAGGCATTCCGTTGTGTGGCACACCGCCTCTTGAGTCACGGCAGCGGTAGTCTAAATACGCCTCCACGAGTAGGTCCATTTGAACGTTCCAGTGATCAGTCTCGTTTTCAATACGGTCGGAGCGAGTACGAGGGTCTACATAGCGGCTAGAACCCAAGTGTAAACGAGAAACTGTGGGCAACGAAAAAATGACACATACCATCCACTGATCCCAGCGACTTCATGAGCGAGCCCCTCGAACGCTTCGTATTCACCTCCTGCATGACTCATGTCCAAGCCTTCGTCTCCTGGGGGCGCAGTATACGGTAGTGGGTCGAGATCCATACCATAGTCCACCATCATTGTTTCAACCATCTCACGGTCCTCAGCAGACATCTCTGTGTAATAAATTAGTATAATAGTGATAGAAAGAAGGAAATATGCCAGATACCTTGGAACTGGGCCTGGCGGCTTGCTGCCGCTGCTTCGATACGCTGACCTTGCTTGCCGGCTGTCAGCACGCGTGTCTGGCGATGACGCCCTCTGAAGTGATGGGATATGATTGACCTTGAGAGGCCTTTCAGCCTAGAAGCCCCCGTTCCGCGGGGCATGGCGGATAGTGTGATTGGAGTGTAGCGGGGACGAGGAGGACAGCGTGCAGGCAGATATGGCGGCAGGATGTGGTATTGACAGAGAACGAACACGTTGGAGGGGGTAGGGCAGTGCCTGGGGTGGTGTCCGGTTACTTGGGTTGTCGGCGATCGTGCGTTGTACCGCCCTGGAACATTGTGCGTGTGGAGGAAAGGAGGAAAGGGCGTGGGAAGCCGCCCGCCCTTTCACAAGGTTTGGAATAAGTCGGGGGTTGCGGGAAGTGCCGGCCGCTAGGAGAGGGCGGGATGTATAGCCGAACAGGGCTTACTCTTTTGGGCGGGGTAGAGAGAAGAGCTGTAAGGTAAAATGGGTATTTGGGGCGTGATTTAACACTGGTGTTGGGGAACTACAACATCCAAGCCTTAGTAAACTTGGTGAGACACGTAATCACCAAGCTTAATAAGGCTTACTTATTGGGAAGGCCAGGTGGCATTTACATGTTTTTGCTACATAATACATACACACGCAAGGAAATGTAATGCAAAGAGATAGCTGTTTCAATATTCAAGGTAAATGAGGTAGAAAATAAGTAGAAAAACACAGTAAAATTACAATTTATGCCACCACCCATGAACAAGATGTCACACATTTAGGTTCGCTGCCATCAATTTGGTGTGACTGTCACACGAAATAGGTTCGGTTCGGGGGTTCGGCGACGCTGTGACGAACCTAAGGTCGAACGTATACAGTACCTGCACTTCTGAAGTTCAGGACATACGACCCGGACAGCATGCAATGCAATCCCACTCCAACATTTGCCTACCAACTCAATCAAGTGTCCGTTGCTGCACTGTCACCTTCCGTTCCTACTCAGCATCTCAGAAACATATGTTTGTCCTCTTGTCGATCAGCAGTGTTAGACATTGATATCGATGATGATGATGAGGTGCAGCCTTTTGGTCCCCTAGATATCCCAGACTTCATTACCTCCTTGTCGGAGTGTTTCTGTCCCAATCTCGAGCATTTTTCGGCTGGCCTCGACTTCGCCTTCGGAGACCAATCTGAAAAATACTGATCCTCGTATTGGACTCTCTCCTTTGTCGTTATTGCTCCTTTGCTGTTGTTGACTTGCTCAACATAATTAGACCTCAGTTGGTTCTGCACTTCGGCCATCGACGATGCCTCACTCAAGAGAACGCCATGAGCAATCCTGGCCTCAGCTCGAGAAATTCTATTTTGGAAGTAGGACTCGTTCGCTGGTTCCACCATCTCTCGCCTTCGTTGGCTCGTTCACCTCACACAACATTGCTGGCGCTTGCACATCGTTGGATACTCTTTTATGCGCACTCAGTAGACACCAAGAGCAAGCCATTCTCTAAACTCATTCCCAAGGATATAACCATTATATCGGCTGTCAACTGCATATCATATATTGCAGCCTAACTTGACCGGCGCGGGCCGCGGGGATATATCGGCAGGTTAGGGCACACTGTTTTACACAGTCGATACAGCAGCTAGCAATGATCAATACAAAGACAAATTTATGACAGCTAGAGCTCTCATAGGATGCAATAAAACGCAAAAGACGATGCACCGAACTGTGGTAGTCCTGACTGGAGCCGAGATGAACGGTATTACCAAAGTTCAAAGTCATTGTGAGACTGATCCGTGTCATCGTCAGTATCCATGTCGCAGTAGCGTACCTCATCGGATAGTATAGGTCGTAGGATAGATTGATCCGGGGAAGTTTGTGAATCTTCGAGGGCATCAGCTGCGGATGAGAACAGGCAGATTTGCGCTTACTGTGGTCAGAGAAATCGAACGCATGGGTGTTCTCAAGGGCCAGGGTATATAGCGTCATCTCAGTTCGTGCGCGGTGCATCTTGGCCTGCAAGGTGAGCAGATCCAGCCCATGATTGCGTAGATTGGCGTTGCTGCGCCGGGTGACTTTGCCATTAGCTCCGACTGCATGTCCAGTTCCGTTTGGAATGCCTCGTAAAAGGCTTCTTGGACGTCGGCGGTGATCCATGTGCTCAGCAGGGGTAATGAGGGGCCAATGCGCTGTAAATAGACAGTTGAGCACAGCCAAATAGAATTTTACAGTACTTACATCTAAAATGCCGTATGCTGGTTCTTCCTGCGCAGATGGGGGCCGACCGAGGGGTGAGGGGGGCGGGGCCTCCAAAGGGGAAGAGTTCTCCAATGGGGGAGAGCTCTCCAACGGGGGGTAAAATCCCGTAGGGTTGATGTATGCGTCATTCCTCATTAACCAAGTTTCGCGTTTCACTCGCGTAAAGATCGAGCAGGCCAAAGGTGCACAAGATAAAGGTGAGTGCTGTGAAGGCGTGCCCATGTGCCTCAAGGTTGCTGAGGGAGTCTTGATCTCATGCTTGGCTGGAGCTCTGATATGTGCTACATAGTGAGAGGGTGAGGATCATAATTCTGCATCTTAAAATCAAAGAAGCTCACGCATTCGGAATTGCTCCAACACACCAATAGCCTGTGAGTACAAAGACACCTCTATCTGACATCGATTCCTCCTCTCTTCCATAAGAAATCGCTCTACAGCCGTATGCCTTCCCCCATCTCCATTGGCATTGCAGATGCCCTGGTGGCTACGCAAGGTTTCTTCCTGCAGAGCCTCTATACTGCGCTCCCCGACTAGCTCCCAAAGATCACCAGAGTACACTCGATCCTTGAGTAAGTACGATAGTATGTACGATTCGGTCTGAAGCTATAAGAAAATAAGATAAATCACGATATACCAGGACACAAAATTATCGACCAACCTTCTGACTCGCTATGAGTCCAACGTAGGCATCCATGAATTTGGAGCCTAGTAAGGTGGAGAGGTGAAAAGTGTCCATACGAGCAGTTGAGTAATCGAATAATTCCAGTGAAAGGCAAGTTGACATCTTTGAATGACCTTCTACCGTAAGGTAGGGTAGTTGAGGGGGGGAGGGGGGGGGGTTAGTACTGGTACACTATGGTAGTAGCTGTGAGTGTGCTGAGAAGGTCTATTTTGTAGTGGGGAGCTTTTGAAGGGCAAGGAGAGCGGGAATCCTCGAGAAGCGTTTGAGAGCTCCGCGGCGGTCACTGAGTCCTGACCATCAAAAAGAACGAGGTAGCCATCAAAAAATGAGGTAGCCATCAAAAGAATGAGCTAATACACCTAACCTTGTTTACCACTTTCTCCAGGCTTTCTTCGTTGGAATATTCTATTCGTCCCATATTGATGGTGCCCCAGATACACTTGCAAGTATGTCGTATGCCTATATCTAGTGTACACCAACGTGATCCTTTCATTTGTGTAGCACTTCTCAAATCATGCATTAAGGTTCCTACCTTTCCATTCTTGCGCGAAACTTTCCGCCGCGAAGCGAGCTCGAGGGCTGCCACCATAAACGGGCGTCAGGCGCAACGACGAGCCACCCAATGAGTAGGGATGTTTGTGTCATATGACTGAGGTCGGGCAGTTCGCCATCATGATCTTTCTTCAGGCCTTGACAGGAATTGGCTGTTTACCCTAACCTGAGATTGCGATTATCGGACGCTCCCTGTAAAATCACCAGAACCAAACTGCATTTGATGCCTTTGCGACTGACCTGCGACGCTGCATTTAGTCTTCCTATCATCGGTTGCACTCGATCATGGGACACCTCCGATCCAGCTCTCTTTCACCTAGTGTCATTCTTGACAGCATGACGAATCTTGAGAGCTCTTTTTCTAAGCCTAGAACAGGTATGACCTGAAGGCCGAGGCTGATGACTCTTTCCGTGTTCGTAGTAGTAACGCCGCGACGGGAATAACACTGTGGTTCCATTCTCGTGGGCCGTGGCATGTTCCTGAAACAACTTATGCATCGCCGAACGCTGAGAAGTAAACATAGTCCATCTGGATACGTCTAGTCAAAAGCTCAATCATGGCTGCAGAAGAGATTGCATAGCTAAGACGGAAGTTAGTTAGTTCGCTATGTGCAGTCATCACACTGCGGCGTGGCTGCGCAGCTTGCGCAAGGAACCCGCACTGCGGGTTCTTTTGACACGCCCAAGTAAATTTAAACTGATTCAAATAACCTGAAAAAGAGCTGTTTTATAAGCACTGACTGCAACGGCTAGTTACTGGAACCAACCCTGATCTACCCTCCCTGTTCCAGCTTCCAACCATGTTCGTTGGCCAAAAAAAATGTGCCCTCCTTGAATCAGCTGCATTGGGCGCTGAGAAGTGCAAGAATAGGTTAGCGTTCATGGTGGCGTTGATGCGTTGATGTGGCGCAGGACTTCTATACTTCTTTTTGGGCATGACGAGGACATGTCGTCAGACTGACTGCGCACGTGGGGCATGTATCCAACTACATAAGCAAAACCCCTCTTGCTCCGTACCTCCATCCTCGACGATTTCTTGTATAGCAAACCATAACACAAAGAGCATCTGAGAACAGAATCAACATGTCAGACAGTTGGAAAGATGGCATCTTGCTCAAGGTTCGTGGCCTCTCAGGCTTTAGATCATGTCGGACTCACCTGTCTCGAGATTGCGAACATCATCGTGTACTTCCTTTTCCTCGGTTCCAACGTCTATACCGTAGCGGCACCTCATGAAATCTATTTCACTGGCAAGGAGACATACATCACCCCTGCTCCATGGGCATTTTTGATTTGGTATGTTGTTTGCCGCTCACCGTGCTCAAACTAGTTTTTATGGTGTTCTCAGGTCTCTTATCCACCTCCTCCTCCTCGGTACTATCATTTACCAGTTCACCGCCCCTGGTAAAAAGGTAATTATCGATGGCATTTCGTGGCGCCTCCCCCTCCTTGGCCTTCTGAATGCGATATACGTGCATTTATGGGCATCCCATCACTATATCCTCGCATTCGTTTTTGCTTTGTTCGTCAGCAGTGCTGTCACCGTAAGTCTCTTCGCTTCATAGTATTCAGAGCGTCAGTTACATCTTCTCTTTAGCACATCTACTACATCGTGAAGAAGTTCCACACTGCTACTAACGCCGGTGATGAAATTTTGGTCCACTTGCCTTTCTCCCTCTACCATGGGTGGACAACCGTTCTCGTTTTCTTGACTGCGTTTGATGCATTCGGTGTCAACGCGCTTACTCAACCAGCTGGCGTTTGGACTAAGGTTTTCGTATTCCTTGCTTTGTAAGTCACAGTTCTTCTTCATACCAGGATTCTCATGTTGTACAGGTTCTTCCTCGAGGCGACTGCGGCCGCATACGCTTTCTCCAGCCCTGAGGGTGACCTTCCTGCCAGCTTCGCGATCACATGGTCGCTCTTTGCGATCTTTGCTGAACAAAGTGTTCGTCGCTCGGGATTCGTCCACTGGACTGCACTCGCGTTTGCAGTGCTCTCTGCATTCTGGGTTTTCATGGGCGTATTTGGCTTTTACAAACGGTCGAGGGGTGGCTCAATCATATTGGACGAAGAGCGTGCACCACTTGTTGGCAGTGAAAACTGAACATCCTTGGAAAGCGATGTTGAAGAAGGGATAAAGGTGACTGAACCTGAATGACTACTGATCCGTACTTTCATTTTATTGACAAAGCGAGGTCATGTTTTCTTTCGTCATGAAGCTTGATTCGATTGTTTCCTTGGATAATGTTGTTTGTCTTTATTTAAATACTTTTGATCTAGGCCTGTATTTTACTTGCGTGTTTGGAATATGCATTGCAATTCACTTCTTCGCTTTCAAACTGAGATGGTATACGTGGGCAGTAATACATTGTAACCCAGACTACGAGCATACTATATCATATGTTCTACGCAAGACAAACGAAATGTTCAAAAACATGAATGATGATTCCAATTGCGATTAAAATTGAGGGCGGAGAGAAATTATCAGTGAAGAGGGAGGAGGAGGAATATCCGTGCACTACGTCTGCTCCCCGGCCATTCAACCCTCAGTAAAGATATGTTTTATAGGTCTCGCCCACTACCGTCATCGAAGAGAGTCGTCGAGAATCAGGGCGGCCCTATCGACGAGCGGTGTAGTGCGAGCCGTAAGATGATAGAAGGCAGAAAGAAGAGAACGAATCTTGACGCGAAGACAGCATCAAGGTTTCCTGAACTCGCACAGCACCGTGTAGATGGTGTTGAACGCGGTATAAATCTCTTCCCTGACCTAGCGGAGAAGATAATAATAACAGTGTCAGCGGAGGGTTCGAACCAGATCCACCAACACGTCGGTCTCATCTTGGAATAATCCAAGAATCACTGACGCGAGAAGAGATAGTAGAGTTCTTTACCTTGGCACCAGTCAACACTATCTTCCCCGACACGAAGATCAACAACACGACCTTCGGCTTGAGCATACGATAGATGAGACCGGGGAACAACTAGACGGATGTGAGTAAACAACAGTCCTCAACTACCGCGAACATACCTCAGGCTCATAACTGCTGAACTGTCCGTGGCTATACGCAAGACCCTCCAAGCGAATGGGGAACTTCACATCACAACTTCCGACGATATTTTGAATCTTGAACTCGGCAAACTTGGCGTCAAATCCAAGCTTCTGCACGATGCGCGCGTACTTGCGCGACGCCAGTCGTGAGTCGTCTTCGCTCTTCGCACCCGTGACGACCATCTTGCCGGAGGCGAAGATAAGTGCAGTTGTCTTGGGCTCGCGAATACGCATAATGACAGCTGCAAAACGCTATCGTGCAAAGCGCATTGGCGTGCAACGACACGTAGTCAAACAGTAGTACCAACCTTGGGGTTATACTCTGCATTCCGGGCGTGCAGTGCAATGGTCTTCAGGTCAAGACGACAATCGAGGTTGACTGTAGCAACAATGTTCTGTAGCGTAGGCACGATGCCCTCTACAGCTGTAATGTGCTGTTGCTCAAGTGTGAGAGGGGCCGGGGTGGCTGGAACAGCATTAGCCGGTGGCGTCGAAGGACCCGCCACCGCCGCTGATGTAACGCCGTTGCTAGATGCCGTAGTCGCAGGCTGAGACTGCGAAGGAGGAGGGGTATGTGATTGAGACAATGGCGATGGTCCCGGAAGCGCGAGATTCGATGGCGCGGGAAGGCTGTAGGCACCGGCGCCAGGTAATGCGAGTCCATGACTTGATTGGGCAACCTGTGGCTGAGGTGCTTGACTTGGTTGCTGATAAGGTGCAGCAGACCTGCCGAATGTGACCTGACGAGCGGGAAGTGCGAAGGACATTCTTGACAACGGAAAAGACAATGAAAATTTGGTCTACTAAGTCGTGGGAAAGTTCGGCGGGGAGAAAAATTGCGTGAAGGGTCGAGGTCGAGGCCATTATATATACCTTTAAATTTCAAACTCCGACCATGACTCAGATCTGATCTCCATTGACTGTTCCTCTTCCTCTCTCTTCCATCATAAAATACATCACTTATGATCCGGGCGTGCTACCTTGTTTTTTTTCTCTTTAATTCTCAATCGCACAAGGCAGATGCTGCTTTGAACATCTCACCATGCTTTTCTCTGAACAAACAGGACACCCTTGTCCTCTTGGATTCGACTTCAAAGCCCACACAATGACAGGCGCTCAATGCATGTGGCGTGGAATATTCCAGAAACCCACCCAGAAAGGCAATATTATTCTCACGCTCGTGCGCTGATGCCGGTGTACGTGGCAGCACTGCCTAACAGTGCGTTCTTGATTTGGGGTGCGAGACTGCGCTATGTCTCTTCAAGTCTCGCGTTGTTCAGGGAGGACGCGCAACTGTGTAGATTTAATGTGCTGGTCATCTGCTCCTACACCCTAGCCACAACTCAAGCTTTCATCTGCTGACTAATATCAGACTACTCACGGCGTGACATAACGCATTCCGGATGTTGCCAAGTATCTATACAGCATTATCTTGCTGCAGGTGTATGTGCCTTATCGTATGTATCATAATATATGTTTGTGCAAATCACAAAGCAATCCCCACAATTGCCCCACGATGTACAGAATGTGATTTCCCATCAAAGCTGTGGGCGCACTTCACAGAGAACGTTTACCTGACAGTACGGTATGTTCCATCAGTCTTCGTTTTATGAGGTCTGACTAGGGAGAATAGGTATGTATCGTACATCTTACATTTCGATGTTGATATCTGTTTCTGGCTCTGCCTGAGTTGCACTGTCTCCGCCGTAACCGGTTAGGTCAACGGTGGTCAACTCTCCTATGCCGTCAAGTGTTACAGGTGGTCGTGACACTGGTGCCGTGACCGCTTGGGAAAATCCTACATCTGTATCAGACCCCGACTCAGCAACATTACGTCTACGGATCACGATCCTGTAGATATAAGTTGTTGCCACCAGAAGGTTGCATGTGATGAGCGAAACTGCGAGCTAATCATTTTCAATATGCAGTTAACCATAAGGTGCTTCAACGCGAAGCGCAAATCATACCTCAAGATCAGCCGCAATCCTCAAGGTATTCCTGAAATGCATAAGTTGGCAGATAGCTCGGAAAATCGAGACTATTGTCACGATTATACTGGTCGACAATGCAGCCAGTATCATTATCCGTTCTTTCGCTGGAAGCTTGATTCCCCACAGAAGACGCAAGGCAAATGATATAATGATTACATCAGAAATGCAGTCCGCTGTTGACAACATTGTGAGTGGTCAGGATGTAGTTCAGATTGGAGGTTTTACTTATCAACTCGAAAATAACCATGGGATGGCTCAAATACACATGAGCTCTGCCATTCTTGTCAGGGTGATTGTACCAATCAAGATTGTGGCCATATTGCCAAGCTCGCTGTGCTGTTAGTGCGCCATACAGCACCAGAAAAACGACGGCTATTATGATGGTTGTTAAGCGCGATGACCTTGCCGACCAGAAAATCCGTGCCACAGAAAAGAGAATACTTTGCCGGACAGCCCTGGGTTTATCAAATTCAAAGCGAGTAACCCCGGTGAACACGGGAAGATGCGCACCAAACAGTTGATGGATAGGCGAACGCGTACACCCAAAATGATATGATTGCCGCCTGGCCACCTATTCGAGATGGATGTCAACCACACTAGTGGATAAAATCAACATCTGCCCACTGGTGTAGAAGTTTGTCCAATCGGTTATTAATGAGGTCTTCAATGTTCGCTGTCATTGGAACATAACACAAGTACAGCAACTTGCACTCACCACTCCACACACGAGCGCTGCGACAGCCCACATGTCCTCCACCCAGATCATGCGTGTCCGTACACGATACCCAAGCCGCATGATAGTAAGTAGGATACCCAAGATTTGAAGGACAGTGCAAACGACTGAAAATCAGCTGAATGGCTGGAATGTTTGTAGGAATATTCAGCTTTACCTCTCAACGTCCGTGGCATAGTGTATCGGCTCTGGGCAGTAATACGAGACAGCAATTCGGCTCGAGACTTAAATCGTACATAAACCCTGAGGTGATGTAACAAAGCGTGGAAGATCAGCTACAGGACATCATTGAGCCAAGAACAGTCTGAGGAAACTTGGCAAAGGTGAATCTATTAGACGTAGTGGAGATAAAAATACAGTACGTACTCATGTCATAGCTCTCGTCGTTACCTACTAGGGGTTTGTCTGTTGTAAGCTGACATTCGTGGTCTAGAACCCAACATACCTGGATGCCTTCATCGATTGTCATCGATATCTATTGTTTTTGACAGGAATTCATTGAACGATGAATTGATCCGCTTTATCTTGCATTCTTGGTCATTTTACGAGTAAGTGAACCCTAGCTGTCTCAGTGATGCGGAAAATTCTCCCAGCCAATCAAGTACGAGGCATTTGAGCCTGTCGAAGCTCAGCGGCCTAGTTGTTGGGCGCCATGTCAGTAGCGCGAATATGTACCCTGCGGCATAATTCAGGGGTGGACAAACCTGCCAAGCAAAATGTCTGTTGTGAAGGCGACACCCCAGTGGCAGCGGGCACGCTAATGTTAAGTATATATCATATAGAGAAGTAATAGGAGTCATGGATGTGTCGGTGATTGCCACATTTCTTGCCATTGCTCCTTGGTGACGATTGTGTCGCACCGCTTGCGCGATTTCATTTTGCTGCTGAGCCATCTCCAGTGTCCACCAGCTCGTCTTGGAGAGCCAATACTAGTATGAAAGCCAATGTCAACCGGCATGACATTACATGTAATGCGCTTGTCTCTTGTTGGATGGGCTTGGTAGGGCAGACTATGAACTTCATTCAGGATCTCACAGAATAGTCACTCCCGTAGTTGGAAAAATTGATCCCCTCTAGCTCACCTCGGCAGGTTGCTGACCCATGTCACAATCCAATGGAAGTTCAGATTGACTCGGAGGTCGCCGCTGATTGCTGTCGCTACGACTGACAGCCTGACACTGACAGTCCTGTTACATGTTAATATCCGAACATCGCAACGTTGTTGAAAGCAGTAGTATGCCCTGTTTCGATCACGATGATCGCAGTCTTTGGAGTCTTCGAGTCTCGACAGAAAGGTACACTAGATTAAACATTAGCTACACAGTATCAAGAGTCTTCTCGCCTTTGGGATTGCAACCTTGACTTTCTCTGCTCGTCGCTTCCGATGACCCGGGATCGTCCAAGTCGACAGTGGTAAAAACTTCGCGCGCAGTGGTTCGCGTCGTGTAATCGTCGCCATCGCTAGATACCTCGTCATCCGCACCCACAAAACCAAATATGCGGTACAGGAAGGTGACTACGACAAGAAGGTTGCAAACGAGAAGCGACAATGACGTCTAGTATGTTTAACCCTCAGAATCAAGTACACCTAGAAGAAGATGTTGACTGCACCTCAAAGTCTGTTGCCGTAGGAAGAACAGTCGTATACTTCGCTATTTGACAGATGCCCCGAAAGATAGATATAATAGTTACGATGATGCTGGAGGAGAATATGGCGAAAATCATCCTTTTCTGTCTTTTCGGCAGTTTGAGACTCCAGAGTAAGCGCAACGGCAGAGCAACCAGTATTGTGTCGGATAAGCAATCACCTTGCAATGTCTGTGAGTTTAGGTTGTGTAAGAGCCGCGAGAAAGTCTCACTCATCAGTTCAAACGCGACCATGGGTCGCGTCATGAATGCATGTACCTTTCCAGTTGTAGCTGTATGATACCAAGTGGTGTCGTGCCCATACTGCCACGCTTTTTGTGCAACAAGTCCTGCCCACAAACCGAGGAAGAGACCTGCCAGACCAAGTATCATGTGGCGGAGGTGCTGCGTTTCGTACACAATGCGAACGATGGAGAACAATATACTTTGCCGGACAGCCCTATTCGTCAAGTACTGAGAAACAATGATGCAATTTCGAACACGAAGACACTCACCACACAACAGAGGGGAAAGCAAATGAGTATACCCAGAATGATATAATTACTTCTTCGCCCGCTGCGGCAAACATGAGTTCGGTAATGAATGGGTAATAGAGCAGACTTCCTTTACCTCCATCAACGTAGGTCCAACAAGAAGTCAACGCGGCTATCCCGCATAGAAACGCGATACCTGCCCAAGCATCTTCGACCCAGAACCTTCTCAACCAAACACGATATGTGAGTCTAAAAATTGTCAACACTAGCCCTAAAACTAGGAATCCACTCGAGACGGCTGAAGGAGGGTCAGTGAAGCTTACATATCATACAAAACCTTACCTCTCAGAGCCACGACGGCCGGCCAAGAAATCACCAGTGCCATGCAGGTCGGAATGAACACCAAAGAGGAGGCGGCACCCAGACGGGCAGAAAAGCTACATTTATCTTGCGAAGTTTACAACATGGACGTGACATTACATCCCTGAATTTGTATACCTCGTGATTGAAGATAAGGGTGATGCCCCCAAGGTTTACGTTCCCCACCTGTTGACGTGCCATATGGACCTTCGTGTGAAAGAAGAGCAGTGCTCAAAGAAGACCCGCATCAGGGTGGCAGTCTGTGGCGGCATGTTGCGTAACGGCGGTAGAAACGTCCCTGAATGTGGCAGGCACAAATAAGCTCACCCTCAAGAGCTGCAGATCTGGTCCAACAAATCTCACATGTAAACTCCCTAGCCATGGCCTCGGAGCGGCTGGTTCGAGACCAAGTACGGTATACTACTAACGCGACAAGAACCTTGTCAGCTTGAATGCCCATCATCGAAAGTATTTGTGGCTCACATATATAGTGATGTATTCAAGCGAGACGCCACAGGTGCAAGCCTATGCAAGCCCAGACTGTGCCACGCTGTCGAATCGTGCTCGTTCACATGACGGCGAGCCTGAAATTGGCCCAGTTGTCCGGAATCTGCAGTGTGGTCCTCATCGCTAAACAGTAGGCTCATGCAGTCAGAGTCACTCTGAGATGAGTCTTTTGAAAAAAAAAATACGTAAGACGTCAAGGCGGCGCCGGCGTTCGCCTAAACCTCAGGCTGAATCCGATGATCCACGTGCGCAAAGTTGCGATTAGATATCCACGTGGTAGCTAGCTATCCGCGATAATCTTGACCGTCCTCGAGTCACTCACTGATCGCTTTCAAATACCAGTTCGATAACTGAGCTTAATCATATTTTTTAGATGTCTGACTCCCAACCCACCACCATCCCTTCCCAAGAGCACGAGCAACTGGTCACACCGTGGGATGTGCAGGGCTCAGTCTCCGCCGACGGCAAGCAACTTGCGATCGACTACGACAAGTTGATTGTCCAGTTCGGGACGCGCAGAGTTGATGCAGCGCTTCTGGAGCGGTTCGAGAAATTGACGGGGCATAAGGCGCATCCGTTCTTAAGACGGGGGATGTTTTTCTCGCATCGGTGAGTTCGATGAGGCTCAGCTGATGTTCCTTGCAATTCGGTTGATGTCGATGTGCTTTCTTAGGGAATTTGACAAGATTTTGGACCGATATGAACAGGGAAAACCGTTCTTCTTGTATACGGGACGTGGCCCAAGTAGCGACAGCATGCATCTCGGACACATGATACCATTCCTCTTTACCAAGTGAGTCATTAGCTCATTTCTGTAATTGGCCTAACGATTCTCGGAGATGGTTGCAGGATGTCTTTGACGTCCCACTGGTCGTCCAACTAACCGGTGAGTATTCTGCCATTTAGATTCGATCAGTTGTTAATCTGAGGAACAGATGACGAGAAATTTTTGTTCAAGCACGAACTAAAAGCTGAGCAGACGCAACAATTCTCGAGGAGCAACGCAAAAGATATCATTGCGGTGGGATTTGATGTCAAGAAGACATTTATCTTTAGCGATTTCGAATACGTCGGCGGACCATTTTACCGCAATGTCGTCAAAATCTCAAGGCAAATATCATACAACCAATCAAAAGCCACATTTGGTTTCAACGACTCGTAAGTCTCATTCGTCCTTCATTCAGGATATCCGGCATATTTTCAACAGGGACAACATCGGAAAAATACATTTCTGCGCCGTTCAAGCAGCACCGTCCTTCTCTAATTCATTCCCGCACATCTTCGGCGAAGTCTCTAATATCCCATGCCTCATCCCCTGCGCGATAGACCAGGACCCTTACTTCCGGCTTACGCGTGATGTCGCGCAGAAACTCAAGTACCCCAAACCATCCCTCATCCACTCCCGTTTCTTCCCTGCTCTTCAAGGACCTCAGACGAAGATGAGCGCATCGGACGCGACTTCGAGTATATTCATGACGGATACCCCTAACCAGATCAAAAATAAGATCAACAAGCATGGTTTCTCTGGTGGCAGGGAGACGGAAGAGGAACACAGGAAACTTGGGGGTGATACGGATGTGGATGTTGCATATCAATATTTGGGCTTCTTTATGGACGATGACGAAGAACTTGAGAGGATAGGCGAGGTCTGTGGTTGCGGTTAATGTCTGCGAATCATTCCACTGATGCCCCTGATCAGGAGTACAGGGCAGGGCGTCTACTTACGGGACAGTTGAAGGCACGTTGCATCCAGATGTTGCAGGAGTTCGTGAAGGTCTTCCAAGAGGTCAGTGTTTTACCTACCACCCTCACGATTATGTGCTCATCCTTACATACTATAGCGGAAAGCCAAAATTACGGATGAGGATGTCAACGAATTCATGAATTCAAACAGGAAAATAGACCCTAATTTCGGGAAGCGATCGCAGACATCATAAGGTCATGTAACATATTATACGAGGAGGTAGTCACATCTCTACAATACGATGTGTGTGCTACATATTACAACGACAGTGGGAACATGCGGTATTACGTGTGTATATGTGAGTCTGCTGATCCGTGTCACGATCGACGCGACAAATGCACTAGCGGACTATATTTGTTGTCTGAGCGCGAGCCAGCCCCACGCCAACCATGCATTGATAGCACTTAGGCCGTATAATGCACCATTCATCCCGTTTGTCTCTTTGATGCTGGGTTTGCTGATGGGAACTGGACTAGTGTCAATATCCTTCGTCCAGTGAATGGGATACGCCTCGGCCTGGACATGCTGCCATGCAGCAATGGCATCCACTGTGGCCTTTCCCCAGTCGAAGGATTCGTGGTCCTTTTGGTCTGCAGGACCGTCGACAAAGACGCAGAGCTTCTCATTAAGTGGCTGGATGAACCCCTCCCGCACACCATTCCGGATAAGTTCACGGAGAGGGTTGTAATAGGACAGAACATTGAGCAATATTACGGCTGCACAAAAGAGTCATGGTTAATCAACGTACAATGTAGAAGCAAGAAAACAACACAAACGTTTGTTGTGAATGTTGAGTTGGTTCCAAGCTACAACTTCGAGGATCTAGGGGGCACGATGAAGTGAGTGTTAGCAAGCTGAGCGAACGAGCCTGCGACGCGTACCTCTTCAAAGGTACCGTATCCTCCTGGCAAACCGACAAAAGCTCCGACGCGTTTTGCCATCTCCACCTTGCGCTCGTGCATGGAATCAACGATGATCTTGAGGTAAAAACAAAATAAAACAACCGGAGATCGATCAACAACGTGGTATGGGCGTACAAGCAATTACCTACCGTCTCTATCTGTTGTACGTGTCGCCCGTGCGCGTTGGTGAGTCAGGTATGTGTTGCCGTTACGCATGATGGAAACGCGCACCTGTCCTCGTTTTTTCTCGTCAAGAACTTCAGCATTAGATTGAGATCTTGTGACAGTATTGGCTTCTTTTATTTCGCCACCTGCGGCGTGAATGGCATATGGGATGACACCGATGACTTTGCCGCCCTCATCCATGACTGCTCCTGAGACAACGCCCATGATGCCACAGTTACCACCGCCATAAACAAGGGGTCGCTTTGCCTCAGCCAGCGCACGGCCCAATGCTACCAAAAATAGTATACCAGATGCATGAGAGCATTTTCCGAGATGAACGAATCAAGGAGACATACAAAGCGCAGCCGACCGGAAAGCATCCTGCTTCCCGAGTGACGCAGCACAATAAACTGCTACAGCTGAAGGATTGCAGTGTTCGACCATATCTAAGTGCTCTGGGAGGACGGTCGGCTTCTCAGTGGTGGAGTGGATGGATTGCACATATTCTGCATCTTGTGAGTATTTAAGTATGTGCGGGCTGCAGTACTTACTACTAGTCCCCCGGCTACTGTACTTTCACTCACTGTGTAAATTGAACATATCAAATGACGTGTCGAAGCGATTTGGCTGATAAGCCAGCTCCGGGAGTGTCTCCAGCTTCGTCTCGACCAGGACCTTGGCGGAGAGCTTCAGTGACATCTCCAACTGCTATTGCAAAAAAACAGGGTTCAAGTCGAGAATCGCCGACTGCTTCCTTGCTGGCACCGTTTACCCTTTCCTGTGATTTTCTGATATTTCGTCGTTCCCTTCGTCAGCGCCTTGTCGTGGAGCCTATATGCGTACTGACTAATGATGTAGAATTGAGTTGGCGCACGCGTGCTATAGCGGTAAAGTGTGATGAAACTTCGGTAATTTGTCGAGTGATCAACAGCGACAAATGGGGCCGGTGTATGGAAAGCGAGCTGCGGCAGAGATTAGCATCCGAAAATGTTGTGGTGTTCGTTTGGTGTTTTCTTGAAAGGCTGAATTCACGATTAATATACAGGCCTCAGGTGCCACGTACTCGACTCATGGATGCATGAGGATTTTGAAGTTGACATCGGACTCGGTATAGTTGTTTTACCGCGATATGAGTTGACTGGTTCCAACGCGATACGTGTGCAAACTTGTCCCCCCAAGCCCGGATAGAGAGGGGGGATATACCGAGTAGCATGTTTGACGTGTAAACACACTAGAAATCGATGCCATCGTCGTGGCGACTGATGCATGATGAAGTAGAGTGTGCGGTGCCCTGTTACCACTCCGCCACCGTTCGGCTGCCAAGCCGTGGCGAAAACAAGGTACGAGCAAATCCTGATTCCGTACACCCCACAAGACCTCTGCCACTGATGCGAAACCGAACAAATATACATTCGGAAACATTATATCAAAGGTATATAAGAACAAGACTTAATGACTTTCCAAAACGTTTGTCCAATGCGCGTCTGGCAAACATTTTTCCACAACCGTCGCATATCTCCAACAACCCAATACTGTCATAATGGCTTACTCCCATACCCATCGAAAAGCCGACAAGTAAGTTTTGTTGATGTTTGGACGGCCGCGGGATATTCGCGCGAGATGGTCCAGCGACATGACTTGATGCACGCTGTTGGGCAACATGGGCACCAGCGCTTCGTGCAAGCATGCGCCTCGACAATGTATCTATTGAAATTATTTACTTTGTTGCAGAAATATTAATACTAATAACACTCACATGAACGTTCCTGACGATGTGCACACTGCGTGATGAACGAGAGCACATACACTGGCGTGAACGTCACTAAATTGTTTAATGGTGTGATGTATGTTAGTAGAGCTCATTAGAAATAGAGAGCACATACGCCGGCGTGAACGTCGCTAAATTGTTTGATGGCGTGATATGTGAGTAGAGATAGGATTTTGGGGACACACCCAGTGAGGGCTACTGGAAGCAGGGTTTCCATAGCGGAGCACATACGCCGGCATGAACGTCGCTAAATTGTTTGATGGCGTGATATGTGTTAGTAGAGATAGGATTTTTGGGGAAGCACCCAGTGAAGTCTACTGGAAGCAGGGTTGCCGTAGTGGATTTTTGGGAGGGCACACCCAGTGAGGTCTACTGGCAGGGTTTCCGTAATGGATTTTTGGTGTTGGAAGGATGTGCCCGCTGACTGAAACGATGACCAGCGACATGATGCGGCGGCGGTGGGCAAAGAATAAGTTATTTGTATGTGTATCTACGACGATTAGAACCAAATAGCCCAAAATGGAAGTTATGCCTTCTCAAGTGGTTTCGGGGGTCCATCGGCATCAATGTACGAGAGCTGGTTGGTACCTGGTTTGATGAGCCGAACAATTTCGGAGTGGTAACAGGTCACACATCACTGCTAGAACACACTCTAGGACAATCATGAGAGTATATGGTGACCTGTTACCATTCCGAAGTAGATCGGCTCCCAATGGCGTGAGAAATGCAAGTCCCTGAACCCATCAATTACATGAAGGGCAAAGACCTCGACCACCGCTCGGTAAGTACATTTCCTGGTCATTCTTAAGTCGAAGTTTGCCGCCTTCGCGCATGCTGAGCTCTTCTGCGCCATTCTGCCGTGTTCGTGCCACACCATGACACCAACGCCCATCACCAAACTCCTCGACATCAACATCCCCGACTTCAGCTCCCACGGTACTACTTCTGACGCCGCCAACAGAAACAGCCGCCGCTCGCAGGTTTGGGCCTCCCAACCTCTTTGCGCCATTTCACTACCTACCCCATCAGCGGACGGCGGCATTTTTCCACGCACACCTTTTTTTTTGGCTTCATCATCCTCGTGTCCCAGTCCTACTTATCACACAGGTTTGTCACCCTCTCATGCAAAACCTTGATATGTAGTGTAGTATCTCCTTCATGTATACATTTTGTTCTCTACATATCGTGAAATTTTAATAATGAACCAACTTAAATCATGTCTTTGGTTTCCTGGGTGAGATAAGACTAATCATGTATGTAGACAAGTACTAGTAATAGTATACAGTGGTAATATGACAAGGGTAGAACTACGAGGCGAGGAGAAAAAAAATCCAGGATGCGGTCACGGTGGAAATCGATGACGAAACTTTAAGAATACGAAGGCGCCGGCAATGCCGGCGCCAAGCAGTGGTGAGCGGAGACAACGAGGATTGATGAGAGAAGACGGCGAGGGAGATGTTGACGTGCCGCCCGGTCTTGATGTGCTGACGGCTTTGAAAGGTTCAGAAAAAATTGCTAACCGGTGGCGACGGCATAGCTAGGCGTAGGAAGGGCGGGAGGGATTAATGGTCTCATGCAGGAAGCAGAACGAAGGCGGCGTTCACGGGCACGAGCGTAAGAAGTCGGCAGAGGATGCTGCACGGTCGACGAGGTCAACGAGTAGGACGATGAAGACATGCAATTAGAATAATGAAGACAAGAAAAGATTCGTACCTTTCTCCGACACGGTTTGTGGGGTCCAACCTTTACTAAATAACGTCAGTCCAATGGTAACATGGTTTCTGAAAGATAGAGAGCCGAAGTATTTCGGAATGGTAACAGGTCACACATCACTCCTAAAATTGCTCTCCTCCCTGTGTGAAATTGTCATTATGCAACGTCATGATTGTCCTAGAGTGTGTTCTAGAGACAGGTCGTATCGGACTCATCCGCACCATCTATAATGCCTCTCCTCTGCAGACCTACCAGTGATGCTGGAGTCTTTTCATAGGTTCGCGAGTATCTGTGCTTTGCTTCCGATTTCAGTACCCAGTAGTCCCTTTTGGATGAGTCCAACTCCAACTCCCAGCCCACTACCGTGCGCGGTTATCGGGTCCGCTAACGAAACAGGTTCAGCTATCATATCAGTGAACTTCGGACAGTGCGAGAGACGTCCGGAGAGCGCCGCATCATGCACCGCCAACCGAAACCGTCCTCACATGAACTCGACAAGAAATTCAGATGTAAAAGGAGTTAATATCGTGCCGGGTCTTCGTGCGAGGGTCGTTTAAATTGTTGCTACACGATGCGGCTCCACTTTGCATTCCTTACGAGCGGTTTATACCGTGTGAGGATGGTTTATATCATATTGCTTGTAACAATACGAATAATAACACGAAAAGTAGGGTCCGAACACAGCACGAACATAATCAAATGAGGGCATGAAAGCAGTCCGAACGGCGCGCGACGCGTGCACTCAATACAAGGTACCGTCGACCATGTTTCAGGTTCAAGGAGCCCTGAGCGAATATTTATATCAGTACCGCTAGTACGCACACGAGAAGCACTCACCAATTGTGCGGCCTCCAACTTGTAAGATTAACAGTAAAGTGAGCTCAATACCGTATCAGCGAGAAAAGCGATGACGTACATTCCACCACTGGGTATTGTCGATCGAGCACATCCTACTAGTCACTGGACGCGGAACGTCTGACGTAGTCCCGTCTTTCTTGGCCTGTATAGAGGTCCCTGTAAAACTTCGGATCAATAGTGGAGGATGCAAACTTAATGAAAACCCGCTTCTTTTGTTGCCTGACTCTCTCTGACTCATACGACTAAGAGCAATGGAAGTTGCGTATATATGCGCCCTATACGCACAAATACATGAGTTGCATACGACCGACATCAAATAAACTTACATTGGGAATGTATTCGAGTGTTTGGAATTCCCGGGGATAACGATTAAGCTGCATCGCTACTGGATACTGGTAGTCATGATGGTAGGAAGGAAACATGGTTGTAAGGGGACAAGAGATGCGAACACCGAACATCGTGTAGTCGGACTTGAGACTTAGTAGCATTCCTTGTACGTTGAGCAGCAAATGCGAAATTTTTGTGAATACCTTGAGAGGTCCGTGCAGTTTCGCACAAGCACGAGGGGAATGAATTGTGCGAAGTTCATGCATGTTTGCATGCGCTGCGCTCGCATGAAAACACACATCATTTATTATCGAACTCTATCTGTAACATAACATCCGGCACTTTGCGTGCTTCTTATCTGATGCGGCATCATGATCTACAAGTTATAAGCTGGCATGGCCGGCGGTTCGGTGGCTATGGCGTCCACCCCGTTGCGTTCTGTACCATTTGAATAATTCGCGTCATGCTGCGTGGCGTGAGTTGATACATTGCTCTGTGTTCTCCTATTTACATTTCTTCCTCCTACGGCGACCTCTGCTTCTTTTCATCGCGTCGTTGGCGTTCAAAAAGGCGGCAGATTTCAAAGAATTTCTGGCGATACGACGGATTCATCGCCACTCCAGACAGTGGTCATCTTCGTGTCAATGTATTTACGTTTGGTGCGAATACAGCTTCCGCCGAAGATGGTATCTATCTGTTGGACGCACGAACGACTATTCTCGGCCTCCGCACTGACCCCTTCGCTCACGGTCAATTATACACAGCGTTATCGAGAGTAAGGACACGGAGAGAGACACTACTTATTTACAGCGATGAACGAAGAACAAGATTCTGCAAACATTGTATTTTCCAAGTTACTACTATAAAAACATATTAACGACACACTGCCGACCGAAGGGAGTAAGGCTAGTATACATGTCAGTTTCGGTAATCCAATCAGTTTGGCGCTCAAGTTTCAAATTTCATCCGAGCAGCAATCCTGGCGGTTGCATCACGGACTTTTTTCGCAAGCTTCCTCCGCACCATTGGATGCTTTTTCTCGAAGGTCGCACGAGTACTGTGTCCGCAAAGTGCAGTTCTCTCGGCAAGTCGCGGGTAGCTGCATCAAACGATGTGCGGGTCCTGCTTCCGCGTCCGCATGTACTTGGTTAGTAATCGCCCAATCATCCCCCTCCTCGGCTATAAGTCGTAGCGGAACTATCTTTTGTAATTGGTGTGCTCTGATACTGTTGGCTTACCACGGGGGTCTTCGATAATCTCACATCCCAATATATTGATACCATCGCCGTTTGGTATAGATAGGGACTTCGCAATTAGACCGTTCCAAATCCCTCAAGACAAGTCAAGACATCGGTTGCAGTGACTACACGAGACTACGCGTATTTCTCACCGTTCTTGATCTGTCGAGCGGTCCGTACTTTCAATCAAAAACTTAATGAATGTTCTAGATATTGAGACGTATGCCAGTACTTCGATGAAAGTTCGAATGTTGGCACTACAGGCCCGCTGTCGCAACGTTGAGTTCAGTAAGAAAAACCCCGTGTATCGCTAAATAACTTGTAGTGTAAAGTAGTCATATACCAAATCACGGATTGGGAGTACTGGGCTTGGCAGTGAAGTACATGGTAAGTACACATCGGGCACGATCAATAACTTTGCATGATATCGATGTGGACACAGATTCAGGCAGGAAAACCTCGACAAGCGATCACAGATGATGTGACTCGGAGCAATCAGTGATACTGCCATACAAGAAAGTACATCTTTATGTAAAGAATATATGCTGGAGTCCTGGGCGTTAAAGATATAATGGCGGTGGATATGATAGCGAATACACGTGAGAGTCTACCAACTTATGCCATGATCAACACGACAGATGCACCAGCTGACCTAGAGTCGTCCTGAACGGGAGCGATTATGCCATACCCTCTTTAACCACGCGTTGGTAGTTTTTAATCCATATAATCCACCGCTAATACCGTTCATGCTTTTGATGTTTGCTTTGCCGTTAGGGATTGTACTGGTGTCGCTGTCCTTCGTCCAGTGGAAGGACAACGGCTGGACTTGGTCATGTTGCCATGCAACAATGGCATCCACCGCGGCCTGCCCCCAGTTGAAGGATTCGTGGTCTTTATGGTCCGCGGGTCCATCAACAAAGACGCAGAGCTTCTCGTTATGCGGCTGGATGAACCCCTCCCGCACACCATTCCGAATAAGTTCACGGAGGGGGTTGTAATAGGACAGAACATTGAGTAATATTACGGCTGCAGAACATAGTTTTAGTTGGCTGACATGGCAACATTGAAGCAAGAAAATATATTTACGTTTGTTGTGAATGTTGATTTGGTTCCAAGTTACAACTTCAAGAATCTAAGGGCACGATGGATGAGCATGACGTAGGTGAGAGTAAACCTCGTGTACCTCTTCAAAAGTGCCGTATCCTCCTGGCAAACCGACAAAAGCGCCGACACGCTTCGCCATTTCGATCTTGCGCTCATGCATTGAGTCAACAACAATCTTGATGTAAAAATGAATCACAAAAATGGAAATGAAGACAAATGGAGATTGATCAAAACAATGTGGTGTGCGCGTGCGGGCTATTACTTACTGTCTCTATCTATTATAAGCGTGCGCGTGCGCGTTGGTGAGTCAAGTCTGTGTTGTCGTCATTGACGGAAACGCGTACCTGTCCTCGCCGGTCCTCATCGAGAGCTTCTGCAACAGACTCAGTTTTTGCGACACCATTTCCCTTGTCTTTTTCGCCACCTGAGGCGTGGATGGCATATGGGACAATGCCAGTAACTTGACCGCCCTCATTTATGACGGCACCTGAGACAATGCCCATGATGCCCACGTTACCACCACCATAGACAAGGGGACGGTTTGCCTCAGCCAAAGCATGGCCCAATGCTGTCAAAGATACGACGCAAGACACGTGAGAGCAATCACGAGATGGAATCAAGAAGACATACATAGCGCAGCCACCTGGAAAGCATTCTGCTTCCCGAGTGATGCAGCACAATAAACTGCCACAGCTAAAGAATTGGAGGGTGCAACCATAGCTAATTGCTCTGAAAGAATGGCTGATTTGCGGGCGTGGAATTGGGGGTTGGATGGATTGTGCATGTTCTGCGCTTTCGACGAGACTTTAAATAAATGTACGTACAGCGAACTCGAGGCAAATGGCGTTTGAGGTGATAAAGATCGGTTATCTGAGTCCTGACGGCGTGGGGACTATAGAGAACAACGAGGCGAGCTGGTGGTCGTAAGTGCCAACCCTGCCGCAGGTGCGGCTTAGTGCAAAGAGCGATTTGTTACATAAAATACGATTTTGAGGGTGGATCCGTGTCCTTTGGGGAGTCAGCCTCTGTCATCACAAGTTAACGTTGCTCCTCAATTGAAGCTTTGTCGACAAATAATTCCCTTCAAGGTCTGATGACTAGCGCTGGAAACCACAAAGTCGAAGTTCGTAGGAGATTACCGAACCGCAATTACCGCTCTTTTAATGTCAACGTTGATTCTATCCATATCCGAGAACCAGTCACACAGCTTCGACGTTGCCAGTTGGCTTGAGGTGAACACGTTGAAAACTTGAAATCCCGCACCAGCCCAGAGCTCATGACGAACCTAGCAGGACTTGTCGGCGTCGGCATGGTCAAGCACTGCAAGTTGACTAGTTAGTGACACATGGAGGTGATCAAAGGGCAAATCATGCGTGTCATGTACGTTACTCCCAACCTCTTCTAATATTAATAAGGCACACCGCCTACACTGCAGAAAGCCAGTCGAATCGGTACGTAAATCGACTGTGATAAGAGCTCTGGCGAGGCCTAAGAGTCTAAAAGTAGCAAACCAGGGGGTCCTTACTTCCGCAATTCACGCCCAACCTTCCTCGTTGCACATTCTCCCTCTGAAATTGCATTCTACAAACAGCGGGACAATCCCTTGTCCTACCGGATCTTCGAAGAAATCCATGAGTGCCCAACCCCTAATCCGCGGGTCCTCGTCTACCTCCTCATATCGGTCGCCAAACTGATCAAGGAGCCATTTTCCGACTCGAGCATTGACGCCTTCAAATCCAATTCCCCACTGCGGCCATCCGAGGCCGCGGGCGATTGTGGGTGGGAAGGCTAAGGGTATTGAGGCTGCAGAAAGGAAGGATATCGAGAGGGTCGGGGAAGGAGAATCACGGGAAGCAACGAGAATGTTGGTTGAAAGAGCAACTTTCTCGGGGATAGAAAGGAAGGAGGGAATTGCATACCTGTAGTCATAGTCAGGCTCATGGTTAGCCAGGCAATCTCAGGGTCTTCCCACATACCAGTCCTGAGTCTGCACCAGGGTGTCCTGACAGTTCCAAGTGAAACCGAGTTTGTCGCTGTCAGGCCAGAGAGGGGGGTGGATTCCAATAGCCGCATTGTCCCAGCCGTAACCATTGTCACCGAAGCGACTAAACATTACGACCTTGCCTCTCACCTCACCCAGGGTTGGTAGTCTATTTTCCAAATACCACATGCCCAAACCCCCTGGCGAGGCAACGATCTCTTCACGTACAAGCTTGGTGAAACGTTGTGTGTCAGAATCTTCCTGCTTGATTGACATCACTATGGTCTCGCGCGAGGTTGAGGGTGTTGTAAGAAACGTATGTACAGTTGATAAGATTTCCGCAAACGGCGCACGTTGTGGGTATATTCCGTGGTATGAAATGAGGTGGGAATCAACGATTGCTAAGCGGATGTCGAGAACTCGAATGCCAGAGTGAAGTTGTCTCTCAAGAGAGGTGCTTAGTGATTGACACTGAGAAATGGGCCATCCATAAAAGGCCATTCTATCAGTCTTGTTATACCAGCATTTCGCTCGCACATAGAAGGCCAGACATACGTGTCATGAGTTCCTGAGATGTGTTATCAGTTAGGCACAGGGAACACGAAGAGTAGTTTTACCTGGAAGCATCAAAGATGACAGAGGAACGGTATCGGGGACGAGGGACAAGAAACAAGATGTATCGCGTCTAGGAAAAATAAGCAAACAATGGTGTTTGCGAGATAACTAAAAGCATATGGATTCAGGTGGGCCAGTAATGTCTATACTATTGTCTCACCTTATTGCGATATACTATCCATTCTGAATCTGCTGGGACTTTGACAAGCTTCCACCTCGCTCCAGCGTCGATATCGAGACGCATGGTGACGGATACGGGACTTGTAGGAATCGCTTCATGTTCTTTGGCCGCATTATTCCGTGCATGTCGAGATACCTTGAGAAGAGAGCATTTTTGGGAGAATATCACGCTCTTGGAATGCGCTTGGACGAGGAAAACGGGGTCTTTCTGTGTCGAGCTCCTGAAGGTAAAATTTAAATCGTCCTGTGTCTGGTTTGAGATTGTGAGGTGCATACGCGTTGGTGGAGAGCACGAACTGACTGTCCGTCTCCTGGTGTATAACCTTGCACAACGATCGACGCAAACCTAGCAACGCTCCCAAGGGGTGGCACAGTGTGTGACACCTCACGTGATCTTCAACATGCAAGCCTAATCCAGAAGTACTTACTCGGTATTCAATATAATTCAGTAGGCAGTTCCTCAGGAGTCAGGCCTCAGGACACAAGTCTAATACTATAAGTATATGTATACAAACATATTTCCAATGGGCCCTTAATGTAATTTCTGCAGTAGCAGTATGTCAATAGGCATTTTTCAGCGTAATCAGGATTGTTGCGACATTCGCTTGTCTTTCTCCTCACATGCCTCTCGCCATTTCCTGCCCTTGTAAAGGACAACCAGTATCAGGACTTGCATTATTATCATAAGGCCGCTCCAGAGGGTGTACAAGCCACCATCGCCAATGGCAACCTGATAAGAAGGTTTAAACTACTGCATACAATTCAGCCGAAAAAATTGAACGCACCTGAAGCGGAATAGCCACTTCAGTAGCAACGAAAGCAAAAACACATCGAAATGCGCTATTCGCGGCAACAACCGTCGATGAGCGGCCTGGGTTGGCATCCACAATGTATGCCAGCGTGCTTGCGAAGACCCATCTAGGTACACGTCAGTCAAGGTCTTGTAGATCGTACATAAACGTACGTTGAGAGGAATCCACAAAGAAGGAGCATAATACAGACGGCCGCGATATGCACGTGCTTCTCGCAAACCCAAGCATATCCAAGTACAGCCGGTGGTAAGAACAACATGGCAGGCCGGGTGCTGGCCAATCGCATCTAGATTTATTATGTTAGGATGTCTGTCGTATAGCCATAGGAAAATTATCAACCTCAGCAAAGCATTTGCCTCCATGTTCTTGCTTCAACCTGGAGAATGTTCGGTCGGACCAGCGGCCACCAAGCGTGGATCCACATATAGAGCCTGCGATGCAAGTCAGTCAGTGTCAATTCAACAAATAAGGTCCTACCTATTCCATACGAGAGTAGTACTAGACCAATTCGGAGAGCGTCGTAGCCGTAGTGTTCGGACAATGTTCTCGAACAAGTGTATAAAAGGCTGTAGCTGAAAGCGAATATCAAACCTAGATATATGCGTGGCTAGTCAAATTATACCCATAATGCATCGACTTGAAAAACACTTACCAGAAGCAAATAGTATTGTGAGATTATTTGAGCGTGTAAGAATATTCAGAAGCGGGGGGAAGGGATTGACATCTGCGAGCGACAAGTTGATATCTTTAATACTTGAAGCAGGTACGATAGGGACATTCGCCTCGATGACAAGCTCCCCTGTTTGCTGTGGAGAAGCCATACTTTCTAGTATAGGTTGTGCGGGCTTGTCAGTGGCAGGAAAGGCGAGACTGGTTTTGTCCATGTGATGATGTTGTAATTCCCCCTCCTTTGTCCTCCTTTGCAGGACATTTTGATATGTCAGACTACGCTCCTTCCTAAAAGTATCTTTGAATAGGAAAACCAGACCAAGGAGAACAACTCCGGCGCAGATAGTGATGAACAAGAAGACAGAGCGCCAGCCCAAGCCCTGTGTCAGCAGACCACCCAATATTGGGCCCAACGCTGTCCCCAAGAGCGGAGCAGAATAATATATGCCCATTTTAGTGCCTCGCTCACGGGGTTCGTAGATATCTGCTAGTGTAGCTGCAGCAATTGACAGGAGCGCGCTTGAACTAGTTATTATAAGCAGTGGCTCCGAGTTTCAGAATAAAATCCTGACCCAGCAGCTTGAAGGCCTCTCATTCCAATTACCAGACCAATAGTTTTGGACACGGCGACCATGGCAGAGGCGACCACAAATAGTGCCACAGATGATATGTAGACAAACTTGGGTGCAGGAAGAATATGAGCATTTTATTGTCATGAAAGAGCGTTCGACAAACCTTGCGTCCTTTGATTTCGCTGATGGCGCTCCAAATAAGTCCAGGGAGTCCCTGAAAAAGAATAAAGACCGATATCGTCCAGCTAATTTCTGAGGCAGATGCCCGCAGGTCATTTTGAATTTGGGCATTTGCCGCTGTGCGCAAGTCATTTCAGTCTTCTGGCTACCTACAGGGGAGTGGAGAGCCATACGATTTTGTATGCTAACGGCCAACCCTGCGATCATAGAGCCAGCTGAAACCAAAATCAGAACAGCGGTCTACGGCCGGTAAGTTAGCTTTCGGAATGTTGGTGGCTGCTATCCACCTTGCGCGCATTTCCCCATTTCAGAGGATCATCTTCCACAGTAGCGTGCTCGATATCTGCATTGACTTCGTTATAGCAGGCGACGACTGGGCCTCCGACTTCAACCACGATGTGAGGAGAATCCTGTACATCTCGGGTACCTTCCTCGGAGATCATTGCATGAGCGGGACGCAGGGTAAGCTGAAGGTCTGGCAAGTAACACCGGCAAATAGGTCAAATGAAAGCTTTTACAGGAATTGAGTGAGGGCTCGAGCCTCAGCGCTGCAGCCTCCGGCGGTGTGTGCTAATGATGGATGAGAATGCGCTACTGAGCTGAGCGAAACAACTCCGTGGTGGTGCCGAGCACATGGGATCGGTTCGGCATGGTGAAGACACCGAAATCAATTGTGTGTGTAGTGTATATTTCATTGGCCATGGATGCGTGTGGGGTAATTGTATCAACCAACTCGGCACGGAACCTCAGGGTTCGAAAGCAAACCTTCGATTCCGACCTCGAAGCGAGGATCTATTTGTGCTTACGAAACGGACCGCGCGCCGCATTTGGGAAACGGGCCTAGATTTAATTCTACCAGCTCAACCGCCTGCATAAGTATTAGTGCTTATCACACTAGAACCACACACTGGGCACACAAATGGGTAAGTTGAATAATAGGGGAAGTTCAGTCGTAAGTGCGGCGTTTGCTATACAGGTGAATTTCGCGTATGTGGCGGACAAGACAATCTCTCCTCATGAGCTTGCCACATCCATTCCAGGAGCAGTGAATTCGGCGATGCGAGGATCCTCCGACATGCTTGCGCATATGCACGACGAGAGTGTCGACGGACACGACGGCATTGCAGAGGCCACTAGCATGTGACCACCTGCAACGATCTCGTGGCATTGTTGACACACCGACCGGTGTATCCAACGCGGAATGGGAGGTTGGATCGGCAGGGGACATCGAAATGGCCTGTCGGGCGACAGGGCGCTCTGCTCGTGGGGTGCACGGATACGCAGCTTGCTCTCGGGTGACGCATAACGCCCTTCGGCTGTGATATTCCTAATCATAACAGAAGCGTACGTCATGGCGCAGCGAAGAAAATGCTGATATCACTCACGGCAGCACGGCCGCAGTGCGCGGAACCTGTATTAGAAGTTCTTCTATGCCTGGTGAATTTGACATCGTCAGATAGGGTGGATTACAAAAGATACCATTATACACTGGCGCGTTTATAACTTGACGGAAGTGTGGTGGATGCACCAGGGCAGTGGCAATCTCGAAGCTGGCACTAAAAATAAGAACTTGTAAGAACAATCGCATACCGCATGAAATCACTGACTAGTTTAGAATTTGCACCGTTTCATCCGATTTAGTGCGAGAGGGTTCAGCATCATCAGTTGAGTGGGGGAAAACCACCGAACATGATGGATTTCCGGGATATGGCGTTGTGGGAATGGTCAGCTGTTTGCTGCGCATGTTTGCGGTCAGACAAGGAATACACAAATCAAAAGAGACTGTAATTCGTCCATTTATACGCGAAGATGGCGCTGTTACTGTAGGAGCACTATCAGACGCCATCCTGCCAACAACGAAGTGACCTACAAAGTACAGTCGCCATGACCTTCCAGATCGGTGAGCGGAGATTAATGGGTGTATGGTTGAGGGGTAGCTGTAACACAACCAATGAAAATTCTGATGCAGAAACTGGTTGAAAGTGCCCATGCGTAGTAATAAGTGATTGGGTGAAAGTGTGCTTGAGCAGGAGAATTGAGACGTCTAAGGGCCCATCGCTGGTCCATAGCAAGCGGTAGGAAAGTGCTCGAAAAGGTGCAATGTCCGATTAGAAGAATTTTGAAGAGTAAAATACCATTCAAACGATGATGATTCGTGTGGGGTGGAAGATAGTTGATAAGCAATTGAGTAATTCAATTTGAACGTGGTGGACAACGGTTCAGCACCGCCTAGACAAGCTTTACCCTTATTCGCGGTGTTTCAAGCGCGAAATGAAGGTGATAACCCCCTAGATCACTGATTGGACGGGGACACCAGGGAAACTTTGTGGCGGCACGTTGGCATCATGCTGCCCTGCTCGCCAGGTATCCGACGTCCGTCAAGGCCGTCCTTCAATTGGCTGCCAATTTTTAAGAGAGCGAAAGCGAAGCCAGATAGCGTCACGGTAGTACAGAAATGAAGTGCTAACCGATTGATTAATCACTGGGCACGCGGAAGACATACGGAAGACATAAGGTGAATGTCAAAAAGCGTCATGAGGTTGAATCAAGTTGAGCTGGCCATTACATAAGCAGTTTTTTCCCTTTTGCACCAAACTTTAGCAGTTAAGTTTAGCTTCCGCAAACCGAAGGGGCCGATCGGACTACCATCATGGCCAACACCACCGTCAAGGGTGCAATCGCAATCCATGGCCAGAACCCCCAGGCGAGTAGTGTGGAACACGTTGTGGTGATAGCTGACAATTGTATAGTTTCTCGTCGAGACCGTTATCCGCAATCGAATATGGGAATCGAATTATTGGAAGGAGCATTGCTTTGCCTTGACTGGTGCGTCATCCGCGTTGTCTGAGACCGTCCAGCTCACCCTTTTCAATATAGCGGAGTCGCTTATCGACCAAGCCATTGCGCTTAGGTGTATCGGCGGTGTCTATGGCAATCAGCGCCCTACGGAGTTCCTATGCTTGCTGCTGAAGTTGCTTCAGCTTCAACCGGAAAAGGAGATATTAATAGAATATCTACAAGCAGACGAGTTCAAGTGAGCAATATTGTATGTGCCGCCCGCTGATTGCTGATTGGCCACTCAGATATATGAGGGCATTAGCTGCCATGTACATACGAATGACTTTCAGTGCTGTGGAAGTGTACGAGCTTCTTGAACCATTAATGAAAGACTTCAGAAAGCTTCGATACCGTGACATGGGTGTGTTGATCTTCATTTTTCCCCTATTGACATACGTCTTACAGCCCGACAGCGGGTTATTCACTGACCCATTTTGATGAATTCATCCATTCGCTCCTCACTGAGGAACGAGTCTGTGACATCATCCTTCCTCGCAAAGCCAAGCGCTCGATACTTGAAGAAAACGGCGAGATTGGCCCTCGGAAGAGTCGCTTGCTTGATGCTATGGAAGGCAAGAGTAACGACAGAAGTCGTAGCTCCAGTCGAAGTCGAAGTCGAAGTAGGAGCCCCAGTAAGAGTCCATATAGGTCACGCAGCCCCAGTACTAGTCGGAGCAGAAGTCGAACTCCATCAGAGAACGGTCGATATGTATCGCGGAGTCCCTCTCGCTCTCTATCTCGTTCGCCCGACCGTTCTCGCACTGGAAGTATGTCTCCAGAGAGGATGGACATTGATCCCACGAATGTATAATAATCTACCTAGCACGTCTACATTTTTTTGAGTCCCTTGGTATCGAAAGTTTGATCCTTGAAAGAGAGCAATTGCTTAGACAATTCCTTCCATCGCTCCTCCACTTTGGGGTTTTTTGCTATAGCCTCAGGAGAAAGATATCCTCGGTTGCGCCAGTCAGTGTACCACACTTGAAGGAATTGCCTGTCAGAAACATCAAAGTCGAGGGAGGGAGAGACTCACGAATGTCCGTGCGACGAGTCGGTGCAGCTGAAATACGATCCTCGCGGCTCTTGACACAATCGCGAAGAGCCAACGGGTTATAGTATTGGCAGAAGACACTTCCTCCAACGGCCTCAACCGCTTTGATTGCACTTTGGGATGCACGAGAAGGAGTGATGTGAATAGGCGTTTTCAAAAATGGAGCATTCTAAATGAAAATGAGTTTACCAGAAGGATGCCTGAGAATGGAAACATACGTCGCCCAGAAGTTTGATTCCATCGTGTACATTATGAATGCATCCACTCAACAGCAATTCGCGGGCTGTGATAGGGTTCTCAGGCGACGATTGTAGTCGACCTTGGTCAATCCAGTACTGTATCCGGTCCAGGTTAATGGGCGCGTACACCTTCCGGTTGCTTGACGAACCTGTCAGATAAATATGAAACTAGCTGGAAAAGAGCACTCACGGATTTACAAAGCCCTTCTTCGGGAACCTCTTCGTGATCGGTGTCTGACCACCCTCAAAACCAGCTTTTGGTTTGCCATTGCCTGCGCGGGCCTTCTGACCCTTGTGACCTCGTGTGGACGTTCCTCCGCGACCAGAGCCTTGACCTCTACCAAGGCGTTTTTGCTGCCGGACAAAGCATTAGAAAATGTTGAATCAGAAATGAGGACAGTGCAAACCGCGTGCTGCGAATTGGGTCCCGGCGAAAGACTCGATAGTGTTATTCGAGTCGCCCTTGAGCGAAACACAGACGACATGTCCGCTAAAAGTAAGTCTGAAGTGGTTTTGCTCTCAATTACTTACTATAGTCGGAACTGAGTCCGGAGGTTGAATTCACTTACCCAATATGACATCGACCTCACACTAGATGAGCTGGCACATATAAGTAGTGCTGGTAAGAACTATGTATCCGGCTGACACGCTGTAGCTTTCGACGTTGGATAGTCCTCTTCTTTTGTTTCAGAAATGTCAACTCTCAGACCACTAATCACGATTTGTGGGACTACTGGCGTCGGAAAGTCCAAACTGGCCATCGAGCTAGCTCTGAAGCTTGCTCAAGGAACACATGCGTGGAGAGGCGCGAGGATCATAAACGCGGACTCCATGCAAGTCTATACTGGGATGGACGTGATAACAAACAAAGTCCCTGTCACAGAAAGAATGGGGGTCGAGCACCTTCTCATGGACTTCAAGCAGCCTGGCGAGCAGTACGTAGTGGGTCAATGGGTCCAAGACGCTATCAAGGCGGTGAGTATTCTACTTATCTTCCCTGTTGCCTTGCTCATAATTAAAATCCAGATTGACGAGACGCATCGTATGGATAAGGTTCCGATCATTGTTGGCGGTACATCCTATTGGATCCAACATCTCATATTTCCGAATCGGTTGCCCATTCCAGCGCAATCTTTGTCCGATTCCGTTGCACAGTCCATTGCCAATCTACCTCCCGACCTCCTTGAACTATTCAATGCACTTCCAGAGCATCCTCCATCTGCAGCATCTCATCCTCATGATGCAATGTTGCTGCACAAACTTCTTACCGCGCTTGACGAACCAGTTGCGCAGCGATGGCACTGGAAGGACACACGTAAAGTCATGGGAAGCCTTCGTGTAATTAAAGACACTGGACAGGCTCCGAGCGAAATTATCGCCGAGCAGTCCAAAACAGCATTGCTTCCAAGGTTTGTATTCTCCACTCAGTGGTGCAGTATTTTCACCTAATTTGTATTAGGTATCGAACTTTGTGTTTCTGGCTCTATGCCGAGCCTTCTATCTTGAATGAGCGCTTGGACGCAAGGGTAGATGATATGATCAAGGTTAGGAAGGTCTTGATCAGTCGACTGCATACTAAAATCCTCGTTCAGCAAGGGCTGTTGGATGAAATAAAAGAACTCCGATCGATCGCTTCTTCCCCCACATGTAGTTCGCCTGATGCAGTCGTCACAGCGCTGTCCGACGAATCAGATATGCAGCAAACTGATTATACTATTGGTATCTATCAGTCTATCGGTGAATTTTGTCAATCGTTTCCCCCAACACTAACTTACGATGCCTAGGATACAAAGAGTTTCATGATTATCTTGTTTCTCCTGAGCCCTCCGAGAAGCTTTTTGCGTCCGCTGTGGAGCAAATGAAGAACGGAACAAGACAATATGCGAAGCGTCAGATACGGTGGCTAAGGAACAAGCTTCTTCCTGCTATCTATAGCACAAATAGCGGCGGGGGTCATGCATCAGCCCTCCTCCCAGTTTACCTTTTGGATGCCACTGGTAAGCTCACCAGTTTTGCATATCCGATTACAGGCAGTGTAATTTGTTCCCTGCAGAACTCGGCGACCAGTGGACATCTCATGTTCTCAACCAAGGTGTACGTATCATGGAAGGTATGCACTCTTCCTTTGCTTCGCGCTTGTACTGATGGGTTCTGACAGCTTTCCTTGGCAACGAGACACTGTCTGATCCTTTATCATTGTCCGAAAGGGCACGGGAGATGCTAACTATCGATGTCAAACCTACGAAGTATGTCCACTACATTCTGGCATAACTCCCAATCCAACCACTCGGTAGTCCAACAGAAGTATTGCGGGCTCGCAAGAAGATTGTATGCACTGTGTGTACCCTTGATCCTGCGCAGCCCTTTATGGTCGAAGATGGCTCTCAGTGGGAAGCCCATCGACACTCCCGTACTCATAGAAGACATGCCTCAAGAGATATCAAAATGCATGGACAGCCGGTCAACCGCCGCACTACCGTCCATAGCGGCATTCCCAGCAAGGTTGACGATCAGGAAGATCAACATCGTTCAATCGTATGAACGAGGTCTACTTCCTGCGCGCAGTTCGTCATTTCTTCTGGTACCCATTCGTCGATCAGCGTCGTCGCTTTGAATATCAGCTTTTGGAGCACATTTCATTTCAAGCAGTTATGCTCCCGGTGGTTCCTGTTTGCTTATTTGTCTCACGCAATGACCTTTGGAGGAGGCGGGCTACTTTCCTCCTGCGCCAGGGACATTATCGATAAGTTCGCCCGGAACGACTTGCATCGTGTATCCATGATGCACTGATGCTGACCATCATTACGAGGTCAGCGGAGCAGCCTCCCTGTCTTGTTTTCCGGAATCATCTTCTCATGCAGTTTTATCTGGAATCATGTTGGGTACAGGAAGCCAAAGAAGCACGCCTGAATGAGTGAACGTTGTGAAATGAGTAGTAGTTATATAGACTGACAAACGTCGTACTGTAGTTTTGTGAAAAAATTGGTTGAGTGCGACGTTGATGTCGTCGTCCCACATCTCGCTTGCCACCATTGTCACAGCACCCTCTGCGAGTGCTGCGACCATCGCCCCTCATTACCTTAACTGCTCCTTGCGAATACACTTTCAGAGGCGGAATCAGTGACGGGCTCCTGTAACCCGCCTTCTCTTTACTTTTCAACCATGACTTCCATGGCGGACCTTCCGGTGTACATGTTACCAGGAGTACCGGTGGTGCAACCGCCTCATCTCGAGGGTCTTTCAGATCCGTCTCTTTCAACTGAAATTTTACCAGGTCCACCTTCCCTGCTGTCTGTTCAGCAGGCTGCGCACAAGCGCGACCCAAAGAAACCAGGAGCTTTTGTGTCATATCTGCCAGCATCTGATCCGGGCTCCACCTACTCTGGATTAATGGCTTCCACCTTCAGTGGTACAGATGCTGAAGGGCAACGGCGCAAACGTGCTAGGGTCGACAAAGGGTAAGTCATCGTATTCAACCTGGTCCCGACGCTAATCGTCTCTGCTGTCGTGCTGCCAAAATGCTCCACCCTCGTCCCCCTTCAAAATTTGCCACGTCGCTGTCTGCTTATCCCTTGAAAAGAACCGCAAACGGAAGGGCTCAGCGTGCATCTGCTCGCAACTTGAACAGCAGTGCCATCCCACCCTCGGATCTCATCGTCCCTGAGGCATCTTCTCGCCAGCCCAGTATACCCCCGCTCCCAGACTCCGACCCTTTTCCGATACACCATGACTTTGACGACCTTTCTATTTCTCGAGCAACCTCTGCTCCTGCTCCTGATGAACCCTTGTCGCACCAACCACCTCCTCCAGTGGTATCAAATGGGAGAGGAAGACCGAGAAAAGACAAAGGGAAAGGGAAGGACACTGAGAAGCACTCTGTAAAGATCAAGGAGGAACCGATGACGACGTTCTCGCTCTCCCCTGACCCTTCACTTCCACTGGTGCGCATTTGGTTTCTTTCTTACGATCATACCCCTCATTACCGTGTCGTTTAGTTGAACGAAGATCACTGCTCATCCTGCCGGTCGCTGGGAGCTCTGGTGTATTGTGATGGGTGCCCACGAGCGTTTCATCTCTGGTGCTTAGACCCACCAATGGAAACCGTAGAAGGAGAGAGATGGTTTTGTCCTAGCTGCACGATTCGGAAGGTGTGTCTGTTTCAGCGTGTAAACTTTGTATACGGGTTTCATCTCATGCCACAACAGCATCCACCCCTCAAACCTCCTCCTTCCTTCATGTCGCCCCTCATTCATCAAGCACAGACAAACATTCCGAAAGAATTCCAACTCCCAGATGATGTTAGAAACTTTTTTAAGGATGGTGTGTCTCTTCATGGCTGTTTTTATGCCAACGGTCTCATTTTCGATGAAATAGTTGCAACTGGTTCCAATGGGTGCTACATTGATAACTCAGAGGTCAAACAACCTCGCCTGAAGTGAGAGTGAAATTCCACATGTCTCCATTCATTACTCAATGTCTTTAGTCGCCATGGTCAGCTCGAGGAACGTGAACCTTACCGCCTTAAGGACAAAAACGGTGTTCCTGTGCTTTGCTTCCGTTGCGGAACATCAACCCTTCCCAGTGTTGTTGATGTATCTGCTCCACCAGCAAAGCGTCCCAGGAGGTCAACCTCGTCCTCCCAAAGTGCCACTCCCGAGGTTTGGAGAAGCATGGTATCTTGCGATCACTGCCCTCTCCACTGGCATTTAGATTGTCTCGACCCGCCTCTCGTGGCTATGCCTCTGTTCAATAAGAAGTGGATGTGTCCCAACCATGCAGATCACGCTTTGGTAAGTTCTCACAGTCCTTTGGATGGGCTTTCATAATTCACTGTGCTCTCTACACCCAGCAACCCAAGCGTCGCGTTCCTAAACAAAACCCACCTATGATAGACATCACAAAACCACGTCAGTTTAATAATGGCAACATCGACATCGTGCACCCACAAGGCACTTCGATAGCAGAGAAGTTAATCCTTGATGAAATCCTTATCAATGGCCGAAGATATAGGGTACCGGAGAAGGTGATCATGCTTGATTTCTGGAATAAGATAAGTCAAGATCAACATCCTGATCAAAGGTACGTGTGTGGCATTGATGGATGACGGTCTTTAATGCGGGAATAGGCCACCGGTGTCCGCGATGTCTTCGCCACTCACGTCCCTGAGCTCTTTGGATGATTTTGATGAAAACATTGGCACATTACCGGAAGGTCCTCTTATCTCGCGAGATGAGTTGCATGCTGCGCAGGTAAGATCCGTTTGAGCGCTTCCGTCATCACACCATTTCATATTAACACGGTTTATAGGCACTGTGCAATTTCCAGCGAATGCTGAGCATACAGACAGAACAGAGGCATGCTCCTAACGGCATCATAAGAAAGCTCGTCGACTCCAGTACACAAACGGCAGCAGAACTACCACCCACGATACCTTTACCCCCGCAGGTGGAGGTATTGAGAGCATCTACCAACAAGGCAGGTTGACTGATCACCTGGAAATTTGTGTCACTGAGGAGGTTCCTGCAGCGCAAAGCACCTACGAGGTCCACTCTCCCTGCGACAGGGAATGGTTCTACTGCCAAGTCATCAGCACAAGCTCCTCCTGAACAGTCGGCTCCGGTGCGGCCCAAGAGGGCGCGAACTACTGTGAAACAGGAGGCGGAGGAAGTCACTTTACGTCTGCCTGATAACCCCGAGAAACAAGCAGAGGCTGTGAGTATTGTGAAATTCTTCGGATCTGTCGCTTACGTGTGTGTGGTCCCGAATTTTGTAGCAAGGGAAGTCCACGAGGACTACTCGCCAACGCCGGAAGGCCAGACCATCAGAAACAACGAAGGATGAGGGTGCATTCGTGGCAAGCGTCCAGGCCTCTGCGCCGGCATCTAGTTCCATGATCCGATCTGTTGGCCCTGAAGCCTCTGACTTGAGTAGTGCTTCGGTATTGCCCGCCTCCAATCCTCCCAAAGTCAACACACCTATCACTCCTAAGGCCTCAGTCACAATCACCCAGTCTTCCCAGTCTGCTACTCCGACGTTGAAGATACGATTACCGCGACTGAGTGCTGTCAGCGCTGCAGTACATTCGAATCCACCCGTGACGGCACCTGCATACACTGCAGCAAGCTCCAAGGAACCTCGCCCGAAGCGCCCGTTACGACGACAGACTTCTGACACTGCTACAGTCTCTTTGAGCGGCACATCTTCGTCTGCAACTGATGGTGGTGACGACTTTGATCCAAGCAAACACAGTAAGGTTTACATTTCTTGCTATTCATTCCGGTTTTAATGTGGGGATGTATAGAAGCAAGACCACGCAAGAGAATCCGCGGATGAGCTTCATGCACCACGTGTTGCACCTTGACATGTAGTACAAAAGGCTGGGGTGTAGAAGATTATATATGTCTTGTCCCATCAACATAAATCTTGAATTGATAATGGGGTGTTGGTTTTGTTTGGCTGTATTATTGCCGCCGCTTGAAGTTCAGCAGGCTGCACTGTGACACCTTTCGTCCCAACAATGCCCGATGGCTTTATCGTCTAGTGCTAAGCGCGTCGCAGTGCAGTTTTGCTAGTCGGCTCAGTTGCTTCTTGAACTTGGACTTCCTCCCGCTGAACGAAATTTTCACCCTGCAGTCACTCGTGTACCCAAACAACTTATTCTTTCACTGCCGATCTGGGGCTCGTCATCGTGTCGTTTGCATCGCAAAATACACCCATTGAACTTGTTGCTTTGGTTTCTGTAAAGAAGTTATCGTGAACAAGCATCACCATCTCGGCCCAAAGATCCCTTGAGCAATGCCGTATTCATCGCCGCATGTGCATGAAACCCGACGCCCGACACACACATTGCAACATTGCGAGGGGCCCGGGAAATGGTCGATCAAGCGATTATGATATGCCTTCTCGTGATGCTCTCAGCCGATGAGCCTGCAATGGATCTCAGAGCAGCCCTTCAGTATTCAAATCACGTACACAAAATCACTTATACATATTCTCTTTGTCAGAGGGAGATTTTTTTTTTCATCCGACTTTGGAACCGTCAGGGCCGACATCCACTCGACCAGTTATGTTAAGCGTGCTATATCTTATTGGTTGTTATTGTTCAACCCAAGTGCTGGTCTGGCTTTTTGTCTGTCTCGATAATGTCTCCACCAGTTGTTCAATACGTTGTCCCCAAGCGACCCACTGTACTTGCAGGTCGTGAGTTTGTTGATCTTCCTGGTTACGACCTATGGCTGCACTTTGTAAGTTTCACTTAGCCGTCTGATTCTCGGTCCTTCTGATCTTGGGAACGTTTTAGGTGGACAACGTCCATGCGTTCGATGGGTCCATTGACGTCAAACGTTTCCACGACGCTCTGGCAAGCACTTTGCAAATGTACCCTCATGCCGCGGGGAAACTGTGCACAACCGGAAGTCGTTGGTTTGTAAGTACATCACAGCACTATGGAGCTCATAGATGGGGCCGGCCGAGACTGAAGGAATTTAGATCCAGCTGACAAATTCCGGACTGCCCGTTGAGGCCGAGGATCGCAGTGAAGAGTTATCTGCCTCTATCATTCAAGGAGACTGGGTTGTTCAAGACGACCTTTCTTCATTGCTTAGCCAACCACCGCCAGATGCTAGCGTCGTTAATGGTAGTGCCGCTCTGGTTCGTTTCAAGATAACAACGTTCAAGGATAGGACATGTCTTGCGGTATCTTGGCACCACACTCTCGGTAGGTCTTTTGCATAACTCGTGAAGCATTTTCTTAGCGGGGTCGGAAATGGCAGGAGATGCGGTGGCGCTTTGTCGGTTCATGCAAACATTGTCCCTATTCTACCAAAGGGTCGAGCCAGTTTTTGCTCCACCAACTTTCGACAAACACCAGTACCGAACCCCAGAGCCATCTACGTCCTCGGACTTCCTTCCACTGATGCCTCATTTGTGGGTTTCTTACCCTTTCAATGAGCTCGAGGCCAAATATGCCGAGGCCTGCGAAGATTTGGGAAATCTAAGATGGAGATTTCATGAACATCATATTCATGCACTCCACTCCATGCTCAGTGCCAATGAGGAGGGCTATTTTTCGTGGCAAGATTGCCTCACAGCGTATATTGTCACTCTCTTGAATCGTTCTATGGCTAGGCCCGTTCGCATGGTCACGAATGTCGCTAATGTGAGGCTTTCTATGAACTTCGAAATTGCTTCTGATCGCTAGACCCTGCAGTTTCGGCGTGTCGAAGCTCACTACATCGCAAGTAATGTCGCAGGAAACGCTATCCAGAATGTCTGTGACGCATTCCACACAGCGAGTGATTATTAATCCACCCACAGATCCCGACCGGGACCCTGCCATCTCATATGCGAGGTATCGCCACTGCTGTGCGGGAATCGATCGATCGGTGCCGTGATGAAATATTTCTCGAGGATTGGATGAGCGTGGCAAGTGATCTCATGCTAACGGCTGCCAATTCTGGGAAATCTTTCTTCTTTGCTTCGCGCCCTGGCGTGATGACCATCAATTCTAATGTCGCGTATAAGTTTTCCGGGTCTTCCTATGAAAAAACTCTCCTGACTGTTCGATTGGCAGGATCGACTGGTGTGACGCTCACTTCGGTTTTCCTGATTCTTCCAGTTTTTTCACAACTGGATGTACGAGGTTCTATTTTCGACCCTTCAAATCGAACCCTACGCTCTGCAATGGCACTTGGCGGCCCCGAAAAGGCTCCGTAGACATCTCTATGGGCGTTCCGACAGTATTGAAGGCTAAACTTTTAGACCGCCTAGCGTTGGATTTTGAGACTATCCTTTATCCGTCACTGTTGGACACCCGGGCCGAGCTTGATGCCCACTGGGAGTGACGCCATGAATTATTTATGGGCCACCATATTCTTGCGCGTTGTATATAATCCTTGTTCATCCCAGTCCCTACAGTCTGGACTCTGCGTATACATACTTCCCGGAAGAGATCTTTTGATCGGATTTGTATTTCGATATTATTGTTTCCATAGTCTGTTCCGATATACCTGATCGATGATCCATTAGCATTAGTTCCTCGTTCATTCTGCCTATATTTGTCCAACACTCGATATATCATAACCAGTGTGTGACCTTATCATCATTGTAATGAGTGCACCTTTGGAACTTGAAGATCTTGTCAAGGAGTGGATTCGCCTTGATCCAGTGCGTAATGCGGTGCTAGAGGCTGCTGCTTGCTTGCTCACATTTGCTTTAGAATGAATCCACAAGAAAGGATGTGGAACAGCTGTGGAATAATAAAGACATCGGCGAGTTGGAGAGACGTTTGAGGTGTGTTGCCCGCATTGTGACAATCTCGCGAAGACATGCTGAGCATGAGATGCGCATAGGACACGCATAGAATTCGGCACCGCAGGTGTGGATGTCCATTGTTAGCTCAGTCTGACGCTCTAAGGCTTTTGGTTTACAAAGGTCTGAGGGGAAAGATGGAGGCTGGATGGTCTCGCATGAATGACCTAATTGTGATTCAAGCATCTCAAGTGGGTTGACCATAACGTCTTAATCGTCGAGCATACGACGTAATTACACCTTTGCAACAGGGCTTGTGCGCGTATGTCCTTGAACATGTCAAGAATGCCGCTACCCGTGGAGTAGTTGTAGGACATGACCACCGATATAACTCGGAGAGATGGGCCCAGCTTACTGCAGCTGCTTTCATTGCCAACAATGTCAAGGTTTACCTGCACAAAGGGCTTGTACACACTCCGCTGTATGTCAGCAACCCTTCTGTGGTCGCTTCTGATACAGATCAAGGCTGCCCTCAGGGTTCCATTTTCCGTAAAGGCGCTCAATGCTGCCTGTGGAGTCATGATCACAGGTACGCTGCACTTTTGTTACATAGTAGCACGCTTCTGAGTTGATTTCCGATCTAGCAAGCCACAACCCGAAGGTCAGGCAGACCGTTATGTGTTTGGAGTCTGTAACTCATGAAGTTCTCTTATAGCAAGACAATGGCTACAAGGTTCGACCCCGATTGCAACTCTCGTGGCGTTACACTAATCATTGATTAGGTTTATTGGGAAAATGCGGTTCAAGTGATCCATGTGGCTTGTATTTCTGTCCTTCAGTACTAAACGTTTTGTTCTTTCTAGATCATAGGGCCACATGATGTCGGAATTGCAAAGTCCATTCTACGAAATTTGGAGCCCAGAGTACATGATGCTTCACAAGTAATTGAATCGGACCTGTGCATCGATTGTACGCAGGAGATGAAAAGAGGGTACTTCAATTCTCTCAGCGATCTGCGCGCACAGACGTTATCGTAAGTTGTTGGCTACCGCCCCGCGCTATTCTGACCCTATTGAATCACCAGATTTAACGGGGGTTCAGTGGCGTTCGTAAACACATCTATGCATGGCGTTGGGGATCCATTTACATCTAAAGCCTTTGAGATTGCCGGATTTTCGCCTTATACTCCTGTAAAAGAGCAGCAGCAGCCAGACCCTGAATTTCCAACGGTGAAGTTCCCAAACCCTGAAGAAAAGGGTAATAACTACCTCCATTTCCTGTGATTATAGCCCTGACGACCAAGCTTGCAGGCGCACTCGTACGTTCAATTTCATATATTTGAAGCAACGGTTGACGTGCTTCAGGATCTAGCTATAGCCACAGCGAACGCTAAAGGGGCATCCTACGTCCTTGCACAGGACCCGGACGCGGATCGATTCTCTGCGGCTGAAAATTGGTATGCGTGATACTTTTTCTACTGGCTGACTTCACAAGAGATCGATCTACAGCGATGGAAAGTGGCTAACATTCACTGGTGATCAACTCGGCACGTTGTTTGCCTATCGTGTGTTCGAGACCTACAAGGCTTCCGGTAAGCCCATAGGTAAGCACGGCATCAAGTTCGTTACCTGCTTGCCTCAGATTACCTTTAGGCAAGTTGGCCATGGTTGCTTCGACAGTCAGCTCCAAGATGATTGAAGCTATGGCGCAAATTGAAGGGTTTCGCTTTGTTGATTGTCTCACAGGTGCGCAGTGCATAGTAGGTTTTCTAAGAAGCGCTGGAAACAAGTTGTGCCATCTTAGGCTTCAAGTTCATTGGGAACACTGCTTTAGACCTTGTCAAGGCGGGATATGAAGTACAATTTGGATATGAGGAAGCCATAGGGTACATGTTTGGTTCTGAAATCAGAGATAAAGATGGGGTGGCCGCAACCGTGAGTCGGCCTCCTAGCCCGTTTTTTATTTCTCACCCAGATCGTCTGCAGATGATATTTGCACAACTTGCTGCAAGCTTGCGTGCGCGAGGCACCACAGTAAATGCACATTTGCAAGAACTATATCGAAGGTGAGTCATCCCCGCCATCGTTGTAGTCACGAGTTAATTCGCAAACCAAGATATGGATATTTCGAGGTCCGTATACACTCGCTCATATTGCCGTGGACATGATCTCATATATTCTGAAAAGACGAGCAACAGCTATTTCGTCTGCACTGACCCTCTTGTCATCGAGAATATTTTTCAGAAGATTCGTTCTTCTGGTGAAATGGTATCTTCGAGCACCATTAGAATGGCAAGAAATAAACATCGTCATTTAACAGGGCTCATCTCAAGGACGCTCCTATCCATCCTCAATTGGCGGGTTGCGGATACAGAGCGTTGTCGATCTAACGGAAGGGCATGGCTACGATAGCACGAACGCACCCATCTATCAACCCAAATTACCGCTATCCTTGGGGCATATGATCCAATTCAGAGCATCATCCGATTCAGACGACTCTCGGATTGTCCTGACAATTAGGTGAGCTGAGGCGACTGTAGTTGCAAATATGCGCCATATTAATTTTCTGCACAGGACAAGTGGGACAGAACCAAAGGTGAATGCTCTTGGGTATCTTCATATAGAGCATCCTCGTATTAACTTGCCTAGATCAAGTACTACCTCGAAGGTAGTGGGAGCAACCGCCAAGCTGTGCACAGCTTACTTGGTCGTGTAGTGGATGACCTGGCAGAGGATTGGATGAATGCCGCTGAGAACGGACTCGGTCGGCCATGATTGTATTGTAAACCCGCTTGCCTGTTGCTTGTCGCATTATTCTGTATTGTAGCCACAAAGCTCACCGCGATGCGCAAGTTGAATTGTAATGGCATAAATCCGCGAGGGGCGACGATTCTTTCTTCCAAATAAGCTTCTCTTGTGTGCAAGCATCATCAATAATTCCCACTTGTGCCGTACAAGTCAGACAGGATACTCAGCAGTCACTTATGTCCAGATGTCTGCGGGCAACCGCTAGCATTGCTGGGATCCTATGAATGATGTTCACGGTTGAATCCGTGACCAGATCAAATCGGCGAATCATGGCGATCTCTTCCTTCGACTAGCATCAAGCCTCTTCGATCTTTCCCATATGTCAACGGTGACTTCCCGCTCAAGCATGGATGCCGCTAGTAGTCTGTCTCGCAGATGGGTATGACCGTCAAACGGACAGAAATGAGAAGCACCGCACCTTGCCACCTTCATCAAGTGAATGAGGTTGTCCGCTGTTATGGATGGGTCTTCTTGGCGTTGACGTACAAAATCCTCTTGAATATGCTTTTCAAAAAGTCAGACATGCAAACGCGCTGTCCGGTATCACACACACCTGAGACGTCTCCTCTGCGACTTGAACAGTTCCAAAACATCGTTTTGCAGCTGCCAAGAAAGAACGGTATGCTGTCAGCTGTGTGGTATCGGGTATCTTTATCTGGTCTCTAGGTTTATACAGGTTGTCCTTGAGCGAAGGTTTTGCTTCCAGAGATACAGTGAATCCCGTCTATCATGGAAGCGGGCGTGAGCAAGCGACTTGAAGGCAGACGCTTGTATTACCTGGAAAAAGGCACTTTTCCTCCCCTCACATAGGACGATTGTTACTATGTCTGTCGGGAATGAGAATTTGCTGAATGGGAAGGAGTATTCGAGCGTCTGAGCATCCATAACTTCCTGGACAGCCCTGATGTTCATGATACCTGCAAAGTAAAATATCAACATTGGACGCGAAAGCAAGTATTTACCATTGAACTTGTACCTTTTTCTACAAGCTTACCCTCTTGCACGCCATTTTCTGTTAGAAGCAAGGTGGTCCCGTGAGGGACCTGCAGATAGCCCGAGTGCAAGTCCTCATCCTTGCTCTCAGGACTAAAGTTTTCCTTGTTCAGAAGATCCAGGGAGAGAGGCACGGTCAGATACTGCGGTAGTAAATCAGAAAGTACATGATGAAGAGCAGGTATCGCGGGTGATGACGGTGAGGGTGATGGAAACCGTGAAAAAGTGAGAGACGGAGGCAGGAGTGGCGTGGCCCGAGTGTACCTGTATCTTGCTTTAGGAAAAATGTTTGAAAATACCAAGAAAAACGTACACTTTTGCGGAAAGCTCGAGAACAAGCCACTGTGCTGCGACTTCATCACCTCCAAGGGCCTCTTCGGCAATCCATTTGATGAGATCATCTCGGACAGTCGTCAAGTCTTCCGGGGGCGAATCATCACCTATAGATTGTACTGTATGGCACAGAACATGGAGTGAAGGGACCATTGGAGAAGAAGTTTCTTCCGAATCAAGACTACACCCAAGTTGAGCATCAGTCGCAAAGATGGTCTGTGTACTCACGACTCGGACGTCAAAATTCCAATAAACGTAACGACGTCCGTAGTTTTTAGCGACTGAGCGGCCTCGTTGTCATAAACCTGATAAATTATGGATGAGCCGAGTTTCTAGTCAATCATGGAGGTCTACCTTGACTCGGACCCCGATATGGGGCGCATTTGGCACAGGAAACTTATGAGGTTGAGGTGGGCTTTGACTAGACGAGCTACCTGTGAAGGTCAGACATAAGCCCCTCAATCATTCAACGTCGAACATACCAGAATGCGATTGGGCAGCCAACTCTTCTGTTCTCCAATCCGTTTGTCCCGGTACCGTGACGGCCCACAAAGCAGTGGCTTCTTTAAGGTCACAGTAATCAAAACTCGAAGGCCATTCACTAGCCGGCATATTCTGCGAGATTCCCCAACCACCACATCTTTTTCCGTTCAAGCTCGCGAGATACATCTCCGGTGAGGATGAAGTGTCCTGTACCATACCGTGAAATCGCACCAAAGATCTATGTGCGAATGATTCAGGGGGATGGTTCACATCCAACGGAAGGACCTGGTGCCACATCAGGATCAACGACGGTGATTGTCAATGCAAGAGTGCACGTATCCCAACCTCGCGAAGCGTATCATCCGATTTCAAGAAGACATCTGCAAAATGGCGAGAGACGACAGCAGGAAACTGGTCGATGTTTCCGGTGTGCTCCTCATAGAGTTCTTGGACTACTTTTGTGGGATCGTTGATAGCATCTATGAGAAAGGCGGATACCATGATGAATAGCGGGAAACAGTACTAGTGAGCGGTTGCGCGTTTCAGCCACCGACGCGCCTTCCACGGCATAGGTTCGGCGTTACTAAGCATTCGGCTGCATCATCGTGGCTGCGCCTAAGCGACTTGGACTTTCACCAACAACCATGCCTCTCTTCAACCGCGCAAAGAAGCGTGGTGACACCTCCGACAATGGCCAGGACCAGAACGGAGAGCGTAAGAAGGAGAAAGGAGGCTGGAGGAAACCAGCAAGTTAGTTTAACCTGCCCCAACAAACCCTTGGGAAGACACCTCTGACGTCTGCTTACTACGCTAGATACTGCGTTCAAACAGCAGCGTCTCAAGGCGTGGCAGCCTATCTTGACGCCAAAAACGGTTCTACCGACCTTGTTCATTATTGGCATCATCTTTGCACCGATAGGCGGCTTGTTGGTGTGGGGTAGCAGTCTTGTGAGTTTTGGGTTACCTCTTGTGCTGTTCAATATCTACAACTGTGATCGAAAAGGTGTCGGAAATGACATTCGACTATACGACTTGTTGGAATCAAACGTCTGCGACGTCACCCGGCACCCTAGCCTTCACGAACATGCCCTATACATACAGCCTACGATCATCAGACTCGGACAAAACAGTCCCAACTCCCCAATTCGCTTACTATCGTAATGACGCAGCACCAGAGGATCAGAAACATTCATGCTACATCAAATTCACTATCGTATCCGACCTGGCTGCACCAGTGTTCCAGTATTACAAGCTCACTAACTTTTACCAGAACAACCGCCGATATGTGCAGAGTTTAGATACCTCTCAATTGCAGGGAGACTATGTCTCGCCGGATACTCTCAGTGGCAGTAATTGCAAGCCTCTTGGCGTCGACGCGGACGGGAAGGCTATCTACCCCTGCGGACTGATCGCCAACTCTGTTTTCAATGGTGCGTCTCTTACGGTGTCTGATTCTGGCATCTCACTGTTTGCGTAGACACTTTCTCTGGGTTTACACCTACAATAAATTCTCCAAACAACACCAATTATACTTTTACGTCGTCTGGCATCGCCTGGCCCGGAGAGGCTAAGAAATACAGCGCCACGTCGGGTTATACTAATAACCTGGATCAGGTCGTCCCTCCTCCGAACTGGGTGCTGCGCTACCCAAGCTACGCAAACGGTTCGATACCAAACCTGCAAGAGGACGAGCACTTCCAGAACTGGATGCGAACGGCAGGTCTGCCGACATTCACCAAGCTCTATGGGCGCAACGACACTGGGACTCTGCTTGCGGGCGAATATCAAGTCCTTGTCTACATGAGTATGGTCGTCGTCGCTGTATCAGCTTTCGTTTCTGACTGGTTGTGATATCTGCAGATTATCCAGTTCAGGGCTATAAGGGAACAAAATCTTTTGTCATTTCCACGGTGTCTTGGATAGGTGGCAAGAACCCATTCCTGGGTTGGGCTTATGTTGCAGCGTCGGGTGTCTTTGTGTTCCTTGCATTAGCGGGAACTATCCGACACCTTCTCAAGCCGAGGTATGGTGCTTTCTCATGTGCTTTGAGACTATGGCTAAACGCGCTGCAGACGTTTGGGAGATATGTCACTGTTGTCTTGGAACCGATAGAGCATGTTGGATTTCACGAACACTCGTATGTACTGGAGCTTTGCCTATTTGACCGTGTAATATCATTCCTTGAACTTACCCACATCACATCATACATTATCTATTCTATGGGCTTGGGGTATAGCCGATGCCGTCGCAGCTTATAATGACGAAACCTGATGGATTCTCCTCGAGATGAAATGTAGCGCCAGTCATTTGTTCCGCTATTTTTATTGCAGTTCTGAAAGATGGGTTGAGTCGTAGGAGATCGATGCCGATAGTTTGAATTCACCTTGTATGATCTGTCAGAGGTCCGGTCTTGACTGTTGAGCGGCCCTTTGCGATAGCCATGAAAATGATTATCTGGTCCTGTGCTCCGAATTTAGTGGGACTGAGCTGAAACGTCGCAAATCGCTGACCTGCAGATACTCATCTACGCATCCATCATGACGAAGATTGCGAAGGAGCTCCTCTGCAGCTTCGTTGCCAATTTCCTCTGGAGCTTTACTTCTCGTGCTGACTGAGGATCCCCCTATCACGCAGCCGTTGTCAGTCTCAGCGAACAGCAATATTCCCCCTCCACTTCCGAACGCCTGTTCCTGAGTTTCTCTGACTGCGTCAATGCGGATAATAGTGGGAGAAACACCACCAGCCAGTAGTGTAGCACGCGCAGCGTTCTTCATGCGTTCGGCAAGGATGAAAGGAAGCCCTCCGACCCGTGCTTCACCTCTGATGACCTGAACGGGGCCCCTCTCTGTAAGCGTTACTGGAGGAAGTGCCTCAGTGAGCGGGGGAACACTACACCAGACTGATCCGCCCCCTCTGGGGAAGTAGCCTCGTTGCATGATCTTGAGTGCAACGTCTACGCCAAAATGGCGTTTCATGAATGGCAAGAAAACATGCTGGATATAATCTATCTGGGGAGCTTGGGTTGCATTCGTCCCTCCGCGGAGAGTTATCGTAGAAGGGGAAGTGGGGGAGGAAGAGAATAGCAAACACGGCAGGGAGACTTGGAGAAGTAGGGTGGTCGAGCCTGCTGTTCCGGGGTCAGCGGTTAATATTTTGGGTAGTTCTATTTTTCCTGGTTTGAAGGTGATGCTGGTGGAACCCAAGTGTACACCTTCTGTTTCAGCTGTGGAGATGGCTGCTGCAAGTTTGATCCCTATTGGAGTCAGTAAGTTTGATGTACAAAGCGATGAGTACATACCTGCTTCATGCTGATTTCGGAGGCCTGGGGGTCTTCGATTATGGCGAACGTTGGGTATGGATATTGGTTTTGATAACAGTGCTGAGAGAGCGACGGCGTTGCGTAGAAGCTGACCGCCGCCTTCACAAAAGCTTCCATCGATGTGTAACATTGAGAGAGCTTGAAATGGAAAGTGAAGTATTCCCACAGTCGATGGCCCGTGCACTCGTAGTTTTATATAAAAGGGCACTCCAGACAACCTGAATCTTTACCACTCTGGCCTTTTGGCTTAGATCAAGTGTAGTATCTGTTCTTAATAGTTTAACCACTATTATGAGGGCACCGCCCTCATTCTTTGGTTATCAAATTTTTGCCGCCCTTGTTCTCACGAGCTCTGCTTGCAACTCGAGGGACATGATGACCTTGCCGCTGCACTACTGGCTTGTGTCGTCGGGGGATCTCTTTTTCCCGCGCTTTCTCTTTGTTGAGTCGCTACTGCTCAGTCTCTTGACTAGGCATGGTGTTTGGCAAACAGCATTAGCTTTTTATTTACAATTGAATAAAGCATTTGAACATCTACGGTCTATCCACATGAATCCAGAATGATTAATGCTATACATGAAATGGGTAGTAAACTAGTGTGCCGGGTATCTTTAATGCGTCCACAAACATGAATGAAGATCAGACTTAGTACCGCTGAAGTCCAGATCCAAGCTAGATAACGACATGAGGCTTCAAGGTAAGAGTACAACAAGATCAACTCACCGCCATCCGTTGTCGCGGGAGCCATGCAGTGGGAGCAGGCTTGCCTTTGGACGGATTTGACGAGTTTCGAAGCTTCACCATGCCGTTGTTGAGCACGCAGCTCGACATCAGCGCAAGCTCTTTGCGGCGTTGCTTGTCGGCGTCCAGGCGCTGCGCCTACATCGGTTGTTTCATGAGCTCCGAGCAGACCGCTAATTATACAAAATTCACGTACCCTCTCGCGTTGAAGTTCCTCCTTCAGATCTTTGATTTGAGTTTGGAAGCTGCCCTCAGCCTCTTCGAAAGAGGACTACACGGCGGTTCAGAACACTCATATGGAAAGTAAACCTAAACTCACTGTCGAACGGCCACCGAGTTTCGCTTGCTCCTCCTTGAAAAGTTTGTCTTGAGACTTGATAAACTAAAACGCAGAACTGAGCGGCCAAAAATAATTATTAGCCGTATCACGTACCTGCCGTGCTTTGGCAAGCTTATCTTGCGCAGTTTTCAACTGTTCCTTGACAATCACATTATCTTCATGCAATGTTAGTAACCTCGACTTGATGTCTTCCGGCACGTCTTTGCCAGCTAGAGACGCTCGCAGGTCACTACTGACAGTCAGCGATGCAAACCAGCGCCATAACTGCAACGACCTACCCAAAGACTCGCTCACGCTGGAGCATCTTCTCCCTCTGGCCAATACCGTCGCTCTGCAAGTTCACCTTCTCTAGCAGGAGCCCATTGACCTGCTCCAGTTGCATCTTATTCTTCTCGCTCAGCTCCCTAATCTGGTTCTTCAAGCGATTCATGTCAGCTTCCATCCCCGCCTTGTCTTCGTTGAGCGATTCTCGCAATGATGCAAGTATATCGAGCTGGTCCTTGTTGACAAGATTCACTGCGAAGCACCCCAAATCAAAAAAGAGTAGCACTACCGATATCCAAAGACTTACGATCTGACTTGGCAATTGTCAACTCCCTCTTCTGAGTCTCGAAAGCGACTTCCAGCTCGGCGTGCTCTTTCCGCAAAGAGTCCAACTGCTCGACCGTCTCATTAAGACGTTGTCGTAGAGCAATCGCAGCTTCCGGCCTGTGAACGATTTGAGTCGGCTGCTTGTATGGGAGAAATTCACCTACCCGTCTCCTAGCGCTTTACCACTTCGGATCTCCTCGAGGTCGCGTTGTAACACCAGCTTTTCTCGATGTGCAGCCATATAATCCGCTTCGTAGCGTGCCTTCATCCTATTAGCGTCCTCTAGCAGGTTCTGCAGGACTAGTATACGGCTCGCATCGGCTTCGTTCTTCTTGACAGACTGCAACTCTCGTTGCAACCTCTTTACCTGCAGCTTCAAATCCGTCATCGTCGTCCCTGTGATAGCGTCATCTAGCTCTCCATCAAGACCAAACGAGTCGCCCATGAGTTCTTCCTCAGTGAGCTCATCGGTGTTCCCCGAAGGCTCTGTCGCCTGCGTTTCCGTCTTCAGTGTGGTGGGCGCCCGATGCGAGGTTAACTCCAGCTCGCGCATACGCTCCTGATAAAGCTCCAACATCTCGGTATCCTTCTTGCGCTCCTCGGAAGCAATCTTCAACTTCGTACGGGTTTGGTCCAACTCGAACTTCACTGTCTCCACCTCTTGTGACCGTGTCGTGACCTTTCCTTCAAGTTCAGCGATCTGGTTCTTATAAGATTCCATGAGTGGCTTGAATGCGGCAACCTTGCGGTAGTCTTCCTCGAGCGATGCGTTCTTGTCGACGAGATCGGCATTTTGTTTCTCTAGAGACTTGATAGCAAGTCATTGAAGTGGTCGACATCGTTACAAAACAACAAACCTTGACGTGTTGTCGTAGGTCAGCGCCCTCTTGAAGTTTCTTTTTATACTTCTCCATGACGTTTTCGGTCTTTTGTAGTTTATCCGCAGCATGCCGATACCTATATATGTTGAGTACAAAGGCGAATCGCACATCAAGTTGAGACGCATACTCGTCTAGTTGGTCTTTGAGGCGCGCACCCTCGTCGGCTTTAACTTGCAACTCATCAATTCGCCGCGTAAGATCAGTCACCAACATCGTGTGTTTGTCAAGCTCAGCCTCCGCCATGGCAAGATTGTCTTCGCTCTTTTGGCTAGTATCTCCGCAGACATCAGACGGGCAGAGTAGTTCGAACATGTACTCACAGTTCAGTTCGAAGGCGCTCGATCTCAGCGCGCATCATACCGTACGCATTGTCATTGCGCTTGCTCTCAATGTCCCTTTGTGCTTCTCGTAACCGTGTCACTGCATCATCCTTCTCGGATACCGCGTCGTCGTAATTTGTCTGTAGCGTTCGGTGCTCTTCAATAAGTGCCTGGTAGACCTTCTCTACCGTTTCCTTCTCTGAAAGGATCTGGCTTCTTTCAGACTGGATGCGGTAGTAGTGGTCGTCTCTGTAAATCCCATCAGTACACCCACGTCTCATTCCTCACAACCAACTACTCACTCCGTCATGCTTGCTTCTCCGACACTGACATCCCCCTGCGAAGCACTAATCTTGATCATAACCTACGCACGCGCATCATTAATATTGATCGCGAATCCTGCAAACGCCCAATCGAAATTCAAATCCAACGCACCTGCTCAATAGCCTTCATCAAAAAATGCTGATCGCCCTCGCTCAACTTCTGAATCCGATCAATAATCTCCTTGTTCTGCTCACACTGCACCGCGATCGCGATCGTTATCCGGCACATGATGAGCGTCGCGCCGACATGGCGGTCTTTCGCAATCGCCTGCAAATCCGGCACTTCAAGCCCGCTCGTGGGCTTCTGCAGCACTTCGGCAAAGTACTGCGTGAGGAGCCGGTAGAGACGCTTTAGGGCGCTGAATCGGAGAACCCAGTTGTCGGAGAGCTGGGTGGAGGACCTGCTGGATTGCCTGAAGTAGTTTGCGTCTCTGGCGGGTGAGGTTCAGTTTCTTTCTCGAGTTAGGTATAGATGGATGGAGGATGTGGGACGTACACTAGGGCGAGAACATCGAAGAGCGCGGCGCCGTCGCTGAGGTCGGCGACGGTGGTGACTGGTCGGGCTAGGTTGAAAGTTGCGAAAAAAGAGATGAAAGCGTTGATCTCTTTTCTCTCCTGCTCGGACATGGCTGTGAGGATTGTTAGCTCACAGTGGTGGTTAATACAGGACCCTGTCTCCCTACTTGTTTGTGACTAGGTGTAGATGTGCAAGTTATAAAGTCGTATCACGTGGATCTATATCAAGCAGAGACGCTAACACGAAGTAAGTATAGGTGAATGTAAGTAGAAACTAAATGTCTTACCTCAGATCGTGCACGCGGATGTGAACGTCTGAGGTATACGAGCTCGATACTGCGAGTATAAGTACGAACGAATGCTCTTGTAAGTAGAGGTAGGTATAAGACCACGGACGAAAGAAAAACGGCTCCTGCGTCTAAGCAGACAAAAGACTCAGTTAACAAAATACGAAAGACGGACCACAAGCTTAAGCGGGACAATAGGTAAACGAAAAGACAATAACAGCGCACTTTGTCGTCGCTGGACGTAGCGCACGCTTGACTAAATCCAATGTACAGTAGACCGTGTAGAGTACAAGGTCTCCTGTACATTGGATTTAGTCAAGCGTTAGTACAACCACAAACTCATTCCTTGGCGAGTACTGTCGCTTACATAACATACACCACTCAGGACTCGGAGTCGTTTCGTCTTCGCCTGCAATGCATTCTTGATTTCTTACACTCACCTCGAACACCACGCTTGAACCAACCACTGATGAAATGCTGGAGTGCAAAGTCCGACCAGACCCTGGCACTGGAAATGAGAGGCATAAATAGCCACCTCTGTCGGATGGCCAACATTTCGGTGTCCCTCTTGTGCTCTTGGGAATTCAACTTACTACCGTGTGTAAACAACCTGGATCAGTCCGTTCCAACTCGATCTCCACTCTCTTGACCTTGTATACGCCAAATTGCCAACAAACTCTGCTGCACGAGGTAGGTTTCAGGTGGCAACCTGCTGGCATCGCAGATATCATATGTTCGAAAGGGGATCCCAGGTGGATAGGCTCCTACATCGTCACGAAGTCAATATTCAGTGCATAAAAGCAAGGCGTCGTCCTTATGTCCCCTTCAGATTTTTTGAACCCACATCCCATCCTCACAAACGATGCGTTTCCACCTTGTCCTCGCCGTTGTGGCTGCTTTGACAGTATCGACATATGCCCGTGAAGCATCATGTCCTACCTTTTGCATCGCTCAAGGGACTTGCAAAGACTGCCCTAAAGGTATATGCGTGAGTATCAGTGGTTTGCTTCCTAGATTAAACTACATGACTCACCGGCTGGCAGGCCATGTTCGCATGCTCCTAGCGTGGCAGCGAATCGTGTTCCTGCTTTCAAATCGGCGCAGTATGGTTGATGGCACAGCTCATGGGTTGCTGGTGGTGTGTTGTCCAGTCGGTCGATATGTTTGCTTCCGAACAAATTTTATTCGCTCGAGCAGTGGAGATTTTGGAATAGATAATGGTGCATTTGTTACTTAATCAAGCTCAGCTGGTCTGTGAGCCTTTCATATGCGAATAGTCGTACTGGACTTGGATGTGTTTATCGCTACCTTGTGCAGTGGGTCTTGTAGCGTCTCGTTTTCCTCCGAGCTGTGGGAAAGCGCTCCTTCATCTTGCGCTGGAAGAGGACGAGCCCGGTAAGAGTTAGAGGCGAGTGCGATGGAGGACGGTTGGTGATGAAGTGGGGCTCCTTAGATCTGCGGCCCAGCACCCCTGGTTAAATATTTGAGCAGCATGTTTGATGATTAAGGCGGGATCTGCTGCAGGAAGTGGTTATACGCAGGATGAGTAATACGACGGCGAAAAATTAGGATAACAATAAATCAAGTATCAGCTGTACTTGACGTACCTCTGGAAGGTGCTTCAAATCAGAGCACCGGTTCGTTGCTCATACTAAGCCGGGCCTTCAACTAAAACGCAGCTTCAGAACAATCCTTCATCATTACACGCCTCGCATTATTGAGCCATGCATGTAAGAGGGTCCTCCGCGCCGTTTCCTGGGCCGAAACCCGAAGTCACGCTCGCAAGGATGTGCCAGCAGCGTCGGTAAGGACAGCACCTCCAAGGACAACGATTCTCGAGGGAACCCGTGGGGAAGCGGGAGCTCTAGGAGTTTGGCACTGTAAAGAAGGTCGCATTGAATTCTTCAACGTTCAGCTATGTACATGTAAATTACAGTGGTGGCACGTGATCAGGGAATTCCCGCTGGCGTGTCAGAGCCATGTAAATCAAATTCATTCCTCTACTGCGTTCGTCGCCGACGCGTCGACAGACACCAAATATTATATGACATCCGAGCGCGAACTTTCCGTCAGCCTTTTTGGATTCAAGATCCATCCAGGGCCTGGGATAACTCGATTGTCACATTTATGATTTGAAGTTCACGTCTTGGTTCGTGTCCTTAATCCGGCGCTGCAGGGGACTCGTGCATGTTCACCGTGCCAGGTGTCGAAATTTGAAACTCTGATTATCCCTGTACAGTGTCGAGGTGACGTGACGTTCATCAGTCACTTGGATCAGATCTTACCCTTTTGTCCGCCATTTAGACTCTATTCACCCGAATATATGTTCTCAGTTCTGTGGCCATATTCTTGTACCACTCTATATACCGAGGAGATGCGAATATCGCCTCCGAAGCTGTGTGGTTGTGGCAGGTTCAAACGTTCGTCCACGGGACGCTGATCAGTGGCCAAGTACCGAAAAGGCACTGGTGAACACTCTATTAGTGCTCGCTAAGTCGGCTACTCTGGTCTATGCGAAATTACCTGCCAGGTGTCCCTATCCTAGTAACACTCCAATTGCCCAAGCCTGTGTGTTTAAATGCGTCAATCGTCTATGATTGGTCAGGTGTCACCGCTCTCTACGGAGCGGTTGTAAAAGCGCCCATCCTCCAAGCCTGGAATGACACCTGGGACTTCTAGTGTCAAGGGTTGATCGATAACCATGGCTTGGGCGTGTCCGAGTTTCATGTGAGAGATAACGACCATAAAACGGCGATTAGAACACCTCCTGACTGCCCTCATCCTTTCACCCCCATCTGTACTTTGTCATAGGGAGCTTATTTGTAACAGCAGCAAGGATGCAGCCGAATGAACAACTTATCCCTGGGGCATTAGCAGTAGGTTAAGTTGGTACTTCGTGAATCTCGGTTCTGACGTCTCTCACAGGAGAAAATCCCTGAGCTCCCACTCCTTAAAACGGAGGAGGCTGGACACCACTTCTTGCGACGTTGGCAGATACGGGCTCCAGCCAAGGCGGGTAATCGGACACGGCGACATTCCACCCACTCATGGGATGATGATCAAGAACAAGCACGACGTGCTCCACGAGAGCAACATGATTGGCAACCGTATGACCCATCATCTGTTCAACCTGCGGCACCTCGCGAGGACATCGACAATTACTTTTACCTCAACATCCGTTATCACCGGGAGGGTATGACATTTGACCTAAACTCCGGCTATGTACTGATTTCTTCACAGCGGAACCTGATGTAGTTTTCAGTCATTTCAGCACCACATTGATTGACTTCCTGCGGTCTGTGATTTCCGAGTATCTTTTTCTGCGAATCTCAATCCCATCTTCTTAGCATGGCTATTGGTGGCGAATTTTTCAACTCAAATCCGGAGTCCCCTCTCACTCACTTTGTGTTCAAACTCGATGAGCTCAAGGCGCACCTTTCGGACGCACGTTCAGCCTTGTCTAACCTTTCTGGGGAGGAGTTGAAGACAAAAGCACACGATCTTGGCCGCTTGGACTCGCTGACCCGTATGCATCATTTTTACAGACGATCCTTGCGTTGCCCATCATCTAACGCTCCACTTCAGAGCATAAAACCGAACGAGATGCCCAGCAGTACCTCGAGGATCTCGTTGATCATTTGGGCATTCTTATACCTTTGGTTGAGGAAGAGTTCAAGCCCATGTGAGCATTTTTGTTGCAAAATCAAACGACTGCTCATTCATACCTCGCCAGATCCATGCGTTTAGAACTAGAGCTATCTTACAACCACATTTCATTTGATCTTCTCATGTACTACTTCAAGAAAGGAGAGAAATACTATTACGAGGATTCGGGTGACAAGGTCAGTTATGATGTTTTGCTGGATGTTGTATTGAACGACTCATGCGAGATAGCTGGCATTTGTGCTGGATGATACGAGCAAGGATTCGTCTTTTGGGCAAGCATGTTTCTGCCAGTATTTTTGTTCATTTTTGACACGACTCCAACTCCCAGTATTTTTTACCTCCATGGTAAGGGTATGGTATGGGACGGTCGTGGTTACGTCAATGAAATCAGACGTGTCAGCATTTCTCGTTACCTCGTAAGCTGGATCTTCTTTTTATTACTACTTTTTACCGACGGGATTTCAGGGGACAAAGGCAGTATCTGATCTTCAGTGCAAAATAATGCAAGATGATGTACACAATGAACTGACAGGTGCGTCTGTCACGAATGACGAAGTATGTCCCTACATTCATTCCTTCAGAGCGCGGAAGATTGTATGCTGCTGTCTCGGGCGTTCATTTCAAGTCATGTGCGTATTGTTAAGTCTCATTATGTTTGGCTGACCTATCACTCCAAGATGATGGTGTAAGCTCTCCATCACCCTCATTCATGAAGCTTGACGAAATTACCCCAGCGCCGCGTGATTATTGATCAAAATGGATATCGCGATTCGGAGTCTTCAAGGTATTTACCCTCCGATGTCGATGTCAGGATTGCTATGTTAATTCGAGGCTTAGTGATTATGATGATTATGTTCCTCCGCATTCAAATTGGGACGCACATATTCCTCGTCCTGGTTCCCCTGACACGTATGTGCCGTCTTGTTTCCGAGCGTCATCATTCATGAAAGCATCCATTAGCGGTGGCACCCCATTGGGAGGACGGCAGGAATTTGTGTATGACCTCACTAGTGCTCGTGAATCCCATGCTCATAATGACATCAGAGACGACCAACTGTACCTCTTACCAGCGAAAGTACAAGGTTTTGATATCCGTCGCAAGGCATGTATCAGCCAATTGATATATCCATCAAACTCTCATGTCACTACCCTCGCACCAGTCTTGGGAGACGTTTGATGTTCGTAAACTTGAGGAGATCCATTTCGATGAACATGCTTGGGACCATCTCGTCCTTGATAAAGCAATAAAGGTAGGAACATTAGCAATCGAACTTGAAGGATCAGCTTCTGATCGTCCATCAGGCTCTTGTCGAAGGGCTCGTCAATGTTACGAAGACGATCAATACCTCTAAAGAGTTGTTCTCCGATGTCATTACTGGGAAAGGTGGAGGATTGGTGAGGACACTTTTCTAAGCATAGATGATTCTGGTGTCACGGGTATGCTTTCAGAATGCGCTCCTACACGGTCCGCCTGGGACAGGAAAAACTTTGACGGCGGAGGCTGTGGCCGAACGCCTGAAACGACCACTCTACGTTCTCAGTTCACTTGAGCTTTCAACTAAACCCGCTATTTTGGAGAAAAAGCTGGGTGACATTCTGAAGGTTCGCGACTCCTGAAATCTTTGTTCGCCTTGTCTGAATCATCGCACTGTTACAGCTCGCAACGACATGGGATGCAGTCGTCCTCATCGACGAAGCCGATGTGAGACTTTAGTATCGACGTCTACGCTTCATGTTCATTGAATATATGCTGCATCTTTAGGTGTTTCTGGAGCAAAGAAGTCTTCACGAGGTCCGTTATTATACACTTCTTACAAATGATTATGCCTGAACGTTCTTGAAGTTGGAGCGGAATGCCCTCGTTTCTGTCGCTCTTCGGGTCCTCGAGTACCACCGTGGTGTCCTTTTCTTGACTACCAATCGTATCCAGGCCTTTGATGAAGCCTTCCTATCGCGGTTCTCCATTGGTAGCTACCTCCCCTATTAGTGATTTTTCTATCACCTGATGTCTGTTAAAGCTGTGAAGTACCCAGAGCTGGATGCTGACGCCCGTTTGACCATCTGGCGAAAGTTCTTTGAGCTTGCTGGGTGCGAGTTGTGGGGCGGCAGTGGACAGCCTGGAGAAGGATGCCTGGACGAGTTTGTCAAACTTGAAGGACAAGAGCCGCAGTGCTATGTTTCGCTTGCTGACCTGAATGAACTGGCTGCAAAGCCTTTCAACGGTATGAACTGGTTTCATATTCATATTTGGCACCTTTCCATTAACTAGTTTCTTAGGTCGCACTATCAAGAATCTTGTGCGGACCGCGCAAGCGTTGGCCATGTCATCGTATGCCATCTCTCTGCATGATGTATGCTCCAGTACTTATGCTTGTGGATTTAGGGATGAAACGCTTTCCCTTGAGCACGTCAAGGTCGTGGTTGAAGCACAAGAGAAATTCTTGACTGAGTTTGCTCGAATCAAATTATGACCGTCTGACCGTCTGTCCTGTTTTGACTGTAATCTTTGGTTATCGCGTAACAAGTAGTCATGTCGTTTTGCATACGGATACGATCGAAATGTTTAATGTTGTGCTTACGATGAGCCATGTGGAGGGATGCGTTCTTGATGCTTTCGGACTAAACCACTTTCCCGAGAGACATTCGTATTGATGATTTTTATGTGACTCCCTCAGCTTTCTTCCACTGCGTGTTGTCCAAAAATTTCAGCTGCGGAGAAGGAGGGGCATCACTGGACAAAATTAAACAAATACGAAATCGAGGCGAGTTTAAATTTTACTAGTGCACATATCATATTCCCCAGCAATGATATCCGGACAAGAGGTGCGTTGGTGCCGTTAATTACCACGAATGACGACATTGACATTGATCTTTACTTTCACGCACTATCTCAAATGTACAACATTTCGCATTCCCATGTATTTGTAACTCCAATCCAGTTGTAATATTGTGCGAAACAGTTTACTGGCCGTCTGATCTCCTGAACAGTGCACGTCGTCCTATTCTTTCATGACTGAGGGAACTGGTGGGGTCGGCCTGAGTCCGCGAGTATGAATAACACCGTTTATTCGGACCATCGCCCAGCGATTGCAAAAGCAACTCAGGTGCCCATTCGCTCAGCATTCTTTTCGTCGTCTCTAAAAACATCAATATCTTTTTACCTTGCTTTGGCTCCATATGGCATCTAGACGGAAAAATAGCTATGGGATTTTTTTTATCTCTGTATATTTGTGACGGAGCTGACGAGAGACGGCTGACATAAGTTCTGGACAGCGGATGGGCACCTAAGACAGCTGTGACGTCAGTGGTGTCATCCTGTCAAGTATATCATGCTCACTGAGCCTCCTTGCAGCCTCCACTTGTCTTCTTCAGCTACTTCTGCTTCCATCACATCGCACAGAACACTACACGATAGCTTTCCTGCAAAAACAACAGAAGTGAAGTGATTTTTCACTGACTGACTATCCTTATTTCTGACATTTTACCCCTAGATGGCCAATCTCATTCGTTCTGCAAAGTATAGCCTGTTCTGGGATCACAACGAGCTCATGGCATACAACATAAATTTCACTACTATACCGGCACATCAATTCTTTCCACAGGGGACAGATATCCCTCTAACCGTGGCAGGATTTGATCCCGAGCTCGCCACCGCCAAGATGTCCTCTTACGCCCATGTGTCGCGCACCACCTTGAAACTTCTCGTATATCTCCACTTTGCCATGGATCCGAGTCACGCTCTATATGAGTCGACGATCATCTCCTTGACTTGTGTGGTTTTCGACATACTTGGCTTCCAAAATGATTGGCAGTACCTATTGAAACCGCACATTATCCCATTGCTGATCTGCAATGATGTCAACAAAAGCGCATGGCTAAGCGTATGCGAATTGGATCAATCAAATCTCTTGCTTGTTCTGCTACAGGTTAAGCCGTCGATGGGCGAGTCAAACGTCGAAGCACGTACGGTCGCAGGAGCCATTGCGGCGTACCAGTACAACAACAAGAAGCGGCAAGAGATGGGTTTGCATCCGCTTGATGCCATGACGATGCCTTGCATGACCATGGTTGGGACACGCCCCGCCTTCTATCTGGTGCCCGTCACCAAAGCGTTGAATGAGGCAGTTGTTTCCGGTCAGTTTCCGTCAGATAGGACTGAGGTGTTGAAGTGTGAGGTTCAAAGTGACCATAATGGAGGCTTGGAGGCACCGGAATATAGGGGCGTTGCTCTCCAGTATTTTGTTGCATTCAAATCCCTTGCGAAAAGCCATTGGGAGAAGTTCCTTAGTTAAAATTAAAATCGAGTCACCCAGGCTTGTCACGGTCATATGCGAATCGTACTGGTATTATTTGGGTGTATAATCTGAATCCAGAACAGCTTCTGAACTTTCCACTTATGAGTCGCCTGCTGAAGTCTGCGATAAAGAAGGCGAAGCGGGGGTCGATGTCAAGCATCATCTGGCTCACATGGCGTCAACGCCATATTGGAAATCACACCGTCCCTACAATATGTAGAAGTAGGAAACAACCCTCATTTCATACTCCACGGTTTTAGAACATATATGAGTTTCTATAATATAGTATTGCCTCCTACATCGCATGCAGTCTGTCCACCTCCTCATAGACTTTTGTCCAGTCACGACAAACAGTCTCGTATCCCCTGACGGCAGACCCAAAGTTATTCACGGCCGGCTCGATTCTCATATTGGGGTGACACAAAATCGACTGGCGAAGATAATTCATGCAGTGACGAGTTATCAATGATGGGGGCCGCTTTGCTGCGTAGTCGTCCCGGATGATTCCCAGGCACTTGAGCTGGTGCAACAGAGTCACCGTGTATATGTGACTTTCGCTCGTCTCCGGATCGGTGATGTTCACAGTGTGCCCTCCCCGCGGAATGAGTTTCGCAAAGTCTTCTCCGCCCTCATCCGTATCTGCGCGGTAGTGTGTTGTTTGGTCTACTCGCATCCACACTGGCTCTCCGAAATCCACTTGAAGAGCTAAATCTGAACGTGGAATCGTTAGCCAAATCTGTAGGAGACGCTAAAGAAGCGTTGTAATACCATGGCTAAGAGCAACTCTTTTGAAGTATCTGCTGTTGTATGACCAAGGCGTTCGTGCAGTAAAAGCAAGTTTGCCAAGGCCAATGCTTCCAACTGCGACTAGTAACACTGTTGCGAAGACAATGGCAAGTCGTCTCATTGTCGTCTGCACTGCCATGCTGGGGAAACCACGCTCAAATATACGTAGACCTGTGGCGATACTGACTTAGTACGGCCCATCAGAATCATTGCATAGCTCGAGAATTGTTATTGCGGATAAGGTTGATACTATTTCCGGCCGCCAGCGCCTCGGACTTTGTCACGAATCATGATTTTTCGACTGGACTCAAGAGAACCAAAGTAAACTGGTGGACAAGTGAGACGCGATCGTGGTGATGACACTGTTAGTGAAGGTGTGCTGGGCGTTGAGGCCCGAGGCTGAGAGTTGGAGTTGCACCCTTTGAATATCAGTTTGGCAAGGGATCACAAGGAAGAATAACAGCCTTCGCGCTCGATTCTTACTGCATCAAATTCATTGCGTGCAAGTCTTCTCAAACCTCATAGCCACATCAGTGCGTTGCTCCCAGATTGGCAATGCTACGATGGAACTCGGCGTCTTCGAGGAAGGATGGGCTGTCGTTTCCGGACTGGCTCCGATGGTATCATACTTCTCATGTACAAGGACATCGATGATTGGCGCGCTGTTTGAAACTGTTCATATCTTCATCTGAACTTCGTTCGTGCGGCATATATCGGCGTGCGATTTACGGCGAGGGCGCACCATGAACTGCTGTGGGACGTTAGTATGTAATATCAACGACGGGCGATGTTGATTCTCCACGTGCCCAAACAACCCACCTGCTCAATGAGGGCGCTGCACCGCAATTGCGATCATCATCCGGCATATGATGGGCATCGCGCTGACATGATAGTCCTTCGCAAGGGCCTGCAAGTCCGGGACATCGAGACTGCTCGTATGTTTCTGCAGAATGTGAAGTCCGTCTCTGACGGTGACGTTCAGTTTCATCATGGATTAGGCACGAACGAATGGACGACATGAAAAGTACAACAGATGACCAGAACGAGAAACCGCGCAGCATCGCCGGAGGTCTGCGACGGTGCTGACACAATTTGGCTGTTTGCGTAATATCTGCGAACTTGTCAACCTCACGTGAGTCGATGGATTATGAAGTAATGCCATAGTAGATGTATATGCAAGCCGGGTAGGTTATCCGCTGCACCTCCTTAACCCCTGTATAATTTCGAAAACCAAAGCGTCGAGCAGAACAGTGCTGCTGCAAAGAGATAAAACACTCTTCCTTCCTTCATGGGATCGCCGTGTGCAAGGAAATTGCGCAGCGGAAGAAAGATTAGACCAATGACAAAATTGGTCGACCCTTAAAGCTGAAGTTAGATATGGGCCTTTGAGGGCACAGATGAATGCTCACAGTTCAGCGATAAACCGACTGATGAAATGGCGGACACGGCCTGTATGGGGTCAGTGAAAAAACGATGCACTTGGTAAAAAAAAAACTGACATGAGGAGGTGCCACCTCTGGGATCATAACAAATGGAATGGGACCTAATCCAAAGGCAAATGACCTTCAAGATATCATGAGTTGCGCAGAGGAGTTAGACATGAACCACAGACATAACAAAGGTGGTGATTGCAATACTGGACAAAGTCACGAGACCGTTATTCAGCCCGTAGCCAACAGCCAGATGAGACAGAAGAGCGCAAGCAACTGATAATTGGATCAATTGTTTCCTGCCCACTCGCTGCGCACTTGGGTTTAGTTTATTGCAAGTACTTGAACGTGACCAAAGCTTGCCTCAATAAGGAAGATCGGCGGAAAGGTCATGAAAAAGTTGACAATTGTGATTCCCAACGAAACATATGATGCTAATTCAGGAAGGGATTTGGAGAGTATATCATTACTGTAGTACAGGACTATGGTACATTGAGAAGTGTAATGTCATACAAGTAAGTGTTCTGCTTACCTGCGTTGATTCCTGATATTTGCTGGGACATCATAGCGACAATAATTGTCAACAGAGGCCGGCGAAGTTCAGTAGAGGCGAACAGTTGAGGAATCGTCATTGTAGGCTGGCGACCAGTTGAACGGTGTTCTGCAACGCTGTCACTGTCTGACAACAGAGGTTCCTCCGAGTCATTGTCCAGTTCTTCAGCTATAGAGAAGATCAGATAATTGTCTCGGCAAGTCAGTATCTGCTCACGATCTGTTTGCGAAACACCATGAATTTCTCCCCACAATCTGCGAGTAGCTACTTTCTGTTGATCTACCAATCCCTTTCGATTGAGATACGAGGGGGACTCTACGACAAACGGGCTGATGAAATACTGGAAAATGGATATCCCTGACGAGATGAATAGTACCAAACGCCATTGTCTGGGAGTGGCGAGACCGAAGCCCATTCCTTGGGTGACCATGATACCGATGACTATGGCCAGTTGTGTTAGAACGCCTAATGAGAAAGTCTATCAATACTACTGGTAAATGGTGAACTAAGAAACAGCGTGAACCCAGGTTTCCCTTGATTTTTGCGGGTGCGATCTCAGACAGGTATATAGGACAAAGACAAATGCCCAGGCCTGCTGCAAGACCAACAAGAAATCTGCGGGGGTGAAAGATTGAGGTAGTGGACATTGCTAGTATGAAGCACATACCTGCCCAGAATAAGTGGACCGACGGAAGAAGATAGTCCGAATACCGCAGAGCCAGAAGCTGTGAGGGCAGCACTGAGACGAGAAGCGCCTTTCCGGCCATAACGGTCCATGACAATGTTAGCACTCAGACTGCCAAAGAAGCCTCCAAATGTGTACATGGACGTCACTACAGAGAATGTTGCGTCGGACATGGGAATGCATGTTGGCAGACCATAGTACACAGGAACAGTCGGATCAGCAATCTTACACGTCAGGACGCCCTGTAGCTGATTCAAAGCGGACGTGTGATAACCATACTTGCAGAAGGACGTGATCAGGGCATGAACTTGGGGTAGGGAGGGTCACTGGATAAATACCTGGAACGAAGCAGTGAGGACCCATAGGCATACGAGCCAACCGTACTTTGTAAAGGTGTGAGCACCCTCAGAAGTCATCTGAAACTTATGAGACTGCAATTGCAAGAGCGCATTGGCAGCACAACTGCAGTTTGGGCATCCGTGGCAATTGCTTCCGGGTTTCCCGCGCACCGCTGACATTACATGTCAAAAGTCACGCAGATGTTCGGATGCATTACGAAGAGCCAGGCCGAGGCCTACGTCAGATTTCCCCTAAACGACGAATCCAACATATACAAGACCTACAATTTCAGGCCGAACCAGCCAGATTAGCCTTCACTGTTTTCACTGAAATGGGCCATACTGTATGTTTCTCCTTTGTTTTCATGTTATGCAAAATGCTTATTGTGCGCTGCAGGATGCCAACTCATCCAAGAGCCCCCCTGTCCCAACGGGATGGATCACCGAACATATGTATCCCGAGGCTGTGGAAAACATGCTTCGTTGTTCCACTGGTTTGCCAGCGACCTTTGAGCTGGCCGAGATCGCAGGCGCGCGCTACATTTTCTCATCAGGCAAAGACTATTACCTTTGGAACAACATAAGCACAGAAGGATGGCGTATTCTCAACGTAAAGAGCCGGGATGACTTATACACTCAGGTAGGCTGAAGCTTGAAGAACTGCCGGATTATGGGAGTGATCTCGAAGGATGATTCAAAGTTGTTACTAGTCTTTTGCATACAGTACATACTTGGTGCAAAACTTCACATTAGAATATAAGAGATTTGCAACTTTAGTACTAAGGGTCCCGGGGTGGTCAAGATGTGTAGTTTTCATAAATTCAGCAAATGTACTTAGTGTGAAGCTTCGAAGCAGGATTGGAGGAATTTATCTAACTACAAAGACTGTATGTCTGAGTCGTAAATGGGACAAAAATTGATACCTGGTGCTAGGTGTAGGGACATCGAGAACGTCTACTGCAGATTCATCATCTGCGAGTTCATCGGCAGACTGGCCACTTGCGCAGCCTTTCGTTTCGGTTGACGTGCCTTATACTTCCCCATCTTGTCCGATGACGGCCGGATGCCACTGAAAAAGGTCCTGACATCAAGTAAGCGTGGAGATGCAGACTGAGGACCGCGTGCAAAAAAAACTCAACGATGTGTTCGTAGTTCGCCGACTTAATGCGGCGCTGGCCAGTAATCTCCAACTAAGAACATCTGAGAAAACAACGAACGGGTCACCCAGCATGAAACCGCCTACATCAAGGAGTTTCGTATTCTTGGTCGATGGTCAGGCTTAGATCACGCACCCATTGTTTGTCCTGTGAAAGACCTAGCCTCAAATTGGTACGCGCAAGCTTGTGCGCGGAGTGAAACCACAGTAGGCAGTTGCAAGATTGTTTTGCCTTCACTGTGTGGTGGGAAAGTAGAGATCATCTCGTTGCAGCCAGCATATAGCTGATGCGCTGAACCCCAAGTTAGGATCTTGGAGTGCGTAGTGTCTATGCATTGCGAACTGCTTTGGATGATTGACGGATATTTTGTAAGCAGGATGTAGCGGCTACGATGAACCGCGGGTTGGTGCTGTCGGAGGAGGAGTTGAAAGCGTCAGGGCATTAGGTGTGATGCGGAAAGGGATTAGACGTGGTATGGGAAGGAATTAGATGTGGCACGAATAGGGATAAGCAATTAGATGCGGTTCGAATCATGAATTAGATGCATAAAGATGTGATAAAAGGACAGGTGGGCGCTCGTCCGGGAAGCGCGAGGCTAAAGTTACTCATCCGCCAACTCGAATACGACTGGCAGAATTCGAAGGAGCCGTTAACATTAACATTGGCGGGGCGCGCACCGTGCTGGTCGAAAAATCAGAAACATCGGTTATCAGGAATTTGTTACAACGTTGGTCAACACGACGTGCAGAGACCAGCGTTAATCAGTACAAACCAAGGCTCAAGGTTTAAAAAAGTTCTCTCTGGCGGGGAATCGAACCCCGCTTTCCCGCGTGACAGGCGGGTGTACTATCCGATATACTACCAGAGATGCTTTAGGTACCCAAACAACATTATATGAACAGTATGAAAATCCTTACTTAAAGCTTGGAGCGTTTTGCCTCCTAAAATTATCCAAGTCGAAGTCAAGGCTTTCTTCTTTTACAACCATGATGACGGCGACTGGATTCTTGTCGCTTCCTATCGAGCTCATATGTTACATCCTGATCCTCCTTACCCCGAGGGATGTTAGTCGTTGTGCTGTGGTCCGCTATTTCTCGCGGTTCTGTGTTTCCTCCTGGGCTAACTTTTGGTTATGCTAGACCTGCAAATTTTTTTCGGGTGTGGTCCGGAATTCTGTCGACATCCAGTACAAGCTTGAACTTTATGCTCAAGGCTTCATTAATACTGAGATTGCTACCATGGACTCCTTCGGCATTTCCTCAAAGATGCACTCACTCAAGAAATTGGCATCTTTGTGGCGGTCTGACTTCCATGCGAACACTGTTTTTGAAACATCGTTCGCTGCTGCCGAACCATTATTTGCAATGCCCGCGAAATGCATATCATTGAAATGCGGGCTTTGGTGGGGTCACATGCGCGATTTCCTCATTCGGGACTGTAACACGAATCCCAAACTCTCCCGGACTTGGTCTAAGGATGATTTATTTCCTCAATCCGTGCTTCCGGGCTTTGTTACCTTCCACGCTCTGCAGGATCTTATGGTCGTATTACCTTGGCCTGATAGTTTCACTGTGACCGATGCCGGACAAGATCACTATGTCTTTTTAGTGGAGTTTCGGCTGGCTTCATCCCAGCGTCCGCATCCGCATTCGCATCCGAGTGCTGGTTGCGCTTCCTTTGAGTGCAAACAATCCTTTGATGCACCTGGTGATTATTGTGCTCGTTTTGAAAAGGAGCCTGAAATATGCGGTGATCGTGTGTTTGTCTTCTATCACATAGTGGATACAGCTGAGACACCATTGCCTGGCATGTTCATATAAGTGATTGATTGGAGGAGGGGACATGTGAGTAATGTAAGTTCCTTTTTGTTTTTGAAAATTCTGCTGCTCAGTATAAGCAGCATATTTTCCGTCAACTAGGTACCCTCAGGTTCGAGGAAGTTCGTGTACGTGTAATTGACGAACAGAAGATTGTTGTCGTCAGCTCAGAAGGCTTCATGTCCTTGTATACGTTGCAAGGGCTTGATTGGTCGCCTCAGTGCCGAATTACATATCGTCTTCCTAAGAGCAACCATACATCCTTTCCACTGATGTTTGTTCATATCCCCTCATCATTCCATGGCACAGCGGCTCGCCCAGAACTCATGCCCCATTACGTGCCCTCCCTGGAGTCACAGATCATGGTTATAGAGGGTTTTTCTCCAGCAGGGAGCGTTATACTAGTCATCGACATGGTCATCTTCTCTGACTTGGCTTTGCACTCCGAGTCAGAGATGCCCATCGACATTCCCTGGTCGGATTGGGGACCTCAGTACACGCACATCTTTCCGCATCACGAGAGCCATCAAATCAGCTTGTTTGGCAGCAAAATGGCCTATGCTCTTCCCCAAGATTGTACTCCCGAGCCTGGTCAACGACTGGGAAAACTCAAGGATTACTTCTACGTGCACATCACATCTGGGATTTCAATAAACGACTTCGTTCGGAAAGTTTCGACGATCCCTACTCACTAGATCTTCGCATCTGCAAGCCGGGTCGGGTAACTCAGTCGTGCTTCGTTGAAGACACTATCTTCTCGAATCGTGCTTACACTGCGGTCGTCTGTCATACGCCTTTTCCCAAACATGGCTTTTCAATGTTGGAACAAGATAGACTTACTGTGACATGGGTATGTGTCCTTCACTATGAATACAGCGATGATTTGATGTGACGAAATTGTAGGCTCAAAATGACATGGTTGATATCCAGGTCATTTCCCCAGTCCCGACGGAGGGTGGCACGGACCCATATCTCTCTTCATTGCCAGCTGAAGAACTTGCAGCCGTTAAACGTCGCCGGGCTTCAAAAAGAGTCCAGAGGAAGAAAATAAAATAGTCATCGACTGATGTAGCTACGTGACCTTTGGATGAATTCAATTGTGAACTTTTGCTCCCTGTCTGTCCTAATTGCTGCTAAACTTTATGACTGTCTCAAAAGATGTATCGTGGCAGAATCAGTTACGCTTTGTTCTAGTGCTTCGTTGTTGTAATTCGTATAATTGAATCCGAAAACGCAAATCTTAAATCCAGAAAGCTTGCCAATATTTATATGCGATAGAGCAATCTTGCAATACGAAAAACACCCAAGCCTTCGATGGCAACAGAATGTTCTGAAACTCAAGAGCCTTCAGAACGTATGCCAAAGGATTATATTCAGCACTCAGTCTCAATAAACGAAAATACATGAAGGGGAATAAGACATATCAATGAAATAAACATAGATCGCAGAAATGTGTCCGTAAATAAACTAAATGAGTCCATGATCGTACCAATGAAGGAGAAAACAAATCAAAAGAACTGTGTAATATGGGTAGTTGGTGGGGTAGTGGAGGAAATCCGAAGGGACCAAGTTGGTCAGCTAGACGGACTATATGCGGGTCGGTGGCCTTCGACTTCCAGGTCGCAGTAGACAGTGAAGGAGGCCGCTGTGTCGTTTGGCGCGTCGTCGAGATTTGGTCGTAGGGGACCTCTGACTCATCGAAGACTTGCGATAGGTTGGGTGTGTAGTGGGGGGGCCTTCGACCTCATGGATAATAACTCCATGTCGTAGGGGACAGTGAGGGAGGCCATTAGCAGGCGTCGTCGGATTGGTCGTAGGGGACCTCTGATAGATACCGAAGACGTGTTGGATGCGACGATGTCTGACGCATTTGGTCGTAGGGGACTCTAGCAGTGAAACATTAGCAAGGGAGGTGAGAGTGTATGGGTGGGCTACTCACCATTCGTAGACGTCGTATGGAGTTGAGCGGCTAGCAGGATGTCGATAATGTGCTAGTAGTCGAAGTTTTGACGACTGCGAGGGACTATTGTCGAGAATATGAGGTTCCACATGTCGAAGTATGGCGTTGATAGCATCGTCGTGTAGGGTGAGTCGTAGTTGAAATTTCGAGGATCAAGAACGGCTATCGTCGCGTAAGATCCATTGCGGAGTAAGTGTCGAGGAATGAGAGTATAATGGGGGTTATCGTCGAGAGTAAGCGCTTCCATCTTTTGAAGTAAATCGTCGATAGCGTCGTCGTAAAGGGTAGTAAGAGCGTCTGGGTTTTGCAGTAGAGCATTGATAGCGTGGTTGTCATCGAGAGTCAGAGCTTCTGTGTTATCGGGCAGAGTGTCGATAGCGTGATTGTCGTCCAGAGTCAGAGCTTCTGATTTTTGCAGTAGAGAGTCGAAAGTGTGGTGGTCGTCGAGAGTAAGAGCTTCTGTGTTGTTGATAGCGTGGTCGTCGTCGAGAGTAAGAGCTTTTGTGTCATTGGGTAGCGCGTCAATAGCGTGGTTGTGTAGAGCGTGATGCGGGCGAAGTATCGATAATTGAGAGGGAACCTCATCGAGAGAAAGGGCTGCTATTTTTCTGATTAGATTGTCGATAGAGTAGTCGTGTACTAGAGCGCGTTGGGGCTGACATATCGATGACTGAGGGGAACCGTCGAGAGGAAGAAATACAGGTATGGTTGGCCGAAGCTTCGGAGGCTGAGATGAATAAGGTAGGATGTCGATAGCGTGGTCTTGTAGAGCGTGATGTCGTCCAATGGTTGATAATCGGGAGGGTACATCGTCGAGAGAAAATTGAGAAGGTACATTGTCGAGAGAAGGAGTGGGTAAATGAGACGATACATTGTCCGGGGAGATGCTTGATAAATGAGATGTTACATTGTCGAGAGAAGGAGTGGATACATGAGAAGGTACATTGTCGAGATAAGGAGTGGATAAATGATAGGACACATCGTCCGGGGAAAGGCTTGATAAATGAGACGGTACATTGTCGAGAGAAGGAATGGATGAATGATAGGACACATCGTCCGGGGAAAGGCTTGATAAATGAAACGGTACATTGTCGAGAGAAGAAATGGATAAATCGGAGGATACAACGTCGAGGGAAAGAGTGGATGAATGAGAAGATACATTGTCGAGAGAGGCGGATAATAAATGAGGAGATACATTGTCGAGAGAAATCGCTGATAAACGAGCGGGTACATCGTCGAGAGAAATAGCTGAAAATATTCTGACTAGGTTGTCGATAGTTTGTGGGTCGTATCCGACGTGCAAGGTGTGGTCCGGTTTATCGTCTGCAAGGCAGTGTGCTGTAGCATCCTATAGACCCAAGCATTAGTAGATGGAAGTCAGAAAAGTCGCGCTGCTTCCTACCTCGTAGAAAGTGCTTTCGTCAGCAAGCGACTCGACGTCTGAGACACGGTCGCAGCAGAACACGTCCTTGGCTAACTCCTCATCATCGGCGATGAGTGTCGTGTCAGAATCAGTCGTCGATAAGCCTTTGGTGGGAGCCTCAAAGGTTGGTTCGGTTGATTCAATCACTGCACGCGACGAGGATGGCCGAGCTGGTGTTCCGAAAGCCTTGGTTGTTGAGGTAGCGTCCAAAATGTTGCCTCCAGCAAAAGGTGCGTCGAGCCCAGCGGTGTGGTCCTTGGGAGCGGGGACGCGTTGGAAATCATCGCTGAGGAATTGTCGAGCAGCTTTGGCGGAGGCTTGAAGAAGGACGGCTGTCGAGAAGCAGACAGTGAATGTAACAAGGCTAACGGAGACCTCCTCTGATTCGGACACGACCTGAATAGTGTGGTCGATGACGATTTCTTTGAAAAACGAGGCTGTAAGATAGCCTTGCATAACAACGCGCGCGGCGCGGGTCATAGTAGTAGTAGAGATCATTATGGCGAGTAAATGGAGGGGTCGTGAAGATATGCTGATGACGGTAATGGCGGGACTGACTGAGGGATATTGCAGCGACAAACACGCAATACTTATACTCCCAGTTTGAACCTTATTTGTGCGCCGATGCACATTATCAACAAAGCCGATCGCGACGCGTTAGTCACGTGTTCAGAAATCAACCATATATAAGTTCGGGGCACTGCGATGAACATCCTAAGTACCCCCCCGCCAACATGATAGGATTAGGCTACATACCGAGGCATCTTGTATGTTATTCCAGTGAACATTATCAGTTCAGCCAGAACCTGATAGAGCTCTTCGTCAGAAGAAAGCTAGATCATGATTGAGAATGGGCGTGATTAACGTACCGCCGTTCCACACACCATGGCTATAAGCCCCAGACAAGGCCGACCGCGAGATGCGCGCTACAATCGCCACTCACCCAATAGCTTTGTGATTTCCGATTCATATCCTTTGTCAAACTTTAGCACGAGAAGGCGAGGCCGAGTTCGAAGTCCCTGCGGAAGGAAAGCCTTTCCGAGTCATAAGTGTATTCATGGCAGTTCTAGCGCAACCCAGTGATGTAAAGGTCAAGTCACACCGCAATACAGGACACGTCTTCTTGACCTTGCGACGCCTCAGGCTTTCAGCGTCCCCATCAACGGCTCATGATCAACTCAACAAATGGAAGCGTAACGCACCTAGAGAAGGACATAGACCGCATTACGTCTCATCCAGGAGTTGCACGACCTTTGGAATAACTCGAAGAACGTCTATGATAAAATATAACTTGCTAGGTCAGAGCGAGAGATACTGGTCAGTACACCAACCAAAAAGTGTCAATGAACTAGTAATTGTCGACTCACGAACAAATGTGGCATGAGCTGAGACCACTAAGGAGTCGAGGAAGCAGAAGATGCGTTGAATAAGCGCGAAGAGGCGGGGACAACGACGATCCGGAAGATATTGCCGCGACAAAACAGGCGGCATTGCGTAGGCTCGGCCCAACACCTAAGTCCCTTGCAGATGCGCATTGCGCCCGCACGGTTGGACAACGATCCAACCGTGTACTTTATAATATGTGTCATTCGTTCATTTTGGGCCGGGCATCCTCGACCTTTGGGGAACATGCACGACAGAACAAATTCCGCCGGTCCCTAAAGACATGGATAGCATCATTGATCAGCTCCACAACGTTTAGGTGTAACGACTCGGAGGCACAGGGCAAGATTGTGGAGCCCTTTCATTCAGGACACCCCGAAGGGTAGATGGTCCTATATGCGGACTTGGTGTATTCCCGCAGCTGGAGGAAACGGAGACGTCGTGGGGCATCTTTCGTGATGGAAGCAACTGGAAGCATCCGGCGCAGACGCAGGGATTTCTGTGGAGCAATGCAAGTTAGGGTGTCTGGGCCACTGCACAAATCACGGTTTCGAGGATCTCAGTCAATCTCTGAAGGGAGAGGCTCGGAACCGTGATTTGTGCCGGAAGTGACTTTGGAGAGAAAACGAACAAGGACAGTCTCCAAACTGCACAAAACTTGCATATTAGTTCATAAGTTCATTAGCCTTGCGCGCTTTCCTTACCTCGACCAATTGAGGATGTGATGAGATCAGAGACGATGATACTTACAAGTTTTCGAGAGGATTCAAAGACGGATCCAAAATGGATAAACATGCATGTCACTGTATAAACTCCGAAGGGCGTCATAGCCAAGTGGTTACGGCGACAGATTAGAAATCTGTTCCTCTTTGAGGGCGTAGGTTCGAATCCTGCTGACGTCGGTCGTTTTTTTCTGCCATTTGGCTCCATGATGACAGATCACAGTCCAGTTGACCTCCATCGATGACAATGATGACATGAAATTGTCCCCGGCCGGACCCCAGGCTGGCTGGCAGTGTTTTAGTTACTTACTCATGGTTATGAATAATACATTGACCATTATCACGATGACCGTCTAATCATCATGGTCATGAACAATGCATAACACAAGATGCTTCTGAATCCCGATACAATTATGACAAGACTGAAACCAAGCACGATGAGGCAACATCGCTTGTGTCGTCCACGTATGCGAGACAAATGGTCGGAGCATAGATTTATTTGTCAGGCTTGATACTGTGGCGAGTCCCGTCCCTTCCAGAAGCCAGAGGAGCCGAACGCCGCAAATTCCCTGCTAGCCCAGCCAGCAAGATGGCTTGCACCGCGCGGAGGGTTCTCAATTGAATACCATCGACCCAAGCAAAATTAGCCAACGGGATTAACCCCACAAGGTGTTCTCGACATTCCATGGACTAAACTAAACCGAGACTCCGACAATTGTTGGCGGCTGCTGCCGATCTGACCAGCATCATGACTGAAGGATGATGTGACAGGCAATCGGGCCCGGGATCACGAATATAGGCTTTGTATTTTTCTGTCATCGGAGTCGACGGAGAGCATGCAATCATGTCAAGGATCCCGCGGTTCTGAATGGGTATGTGAGCATGGTGTACGGCATGCTTTCCCTGGAGCAAATAAGACCACTTCGGGCGCTTCGGGGCTCATTCTTTCCGGACTTCTGTGGCCGCTGGAACCAAGGCATGTGATCCTGTGCAACGTGCCAGAATATTAATTTTGTCATAAGTACTCCATGAGGATACTTTGATGCTTCTTTCAATGAATTGGGCGGCCATTTGTGGAGTGACGTAGGGGTATACTATGATTCATAACCGACGTCAATATGCAAGACATAAGGAAAATCATCTTACCGCTGGCACGCATGTAAGCAGTTCTGGCTCCTTTTAGTTGTAAAAGCGGTGATCTTCACCGGGAAGAGCATCCCCCGGTGCAGACTATAATCGTTGTGTCATCTTTTCGGTAATTAGCTGGGTGTCGGTGGTTGAAAACAGGCAAGGGTCCAAAAACTCCAAGCAGTCAGACCCTTTCCGAGGGACTAAGCACAACAATTGATCATGTCACATTAGGAGACGTTTCTTTGCTCTAGAACACGTTTAATAATTCTGACCAACTCAGCTGATCCTCGGTGCGCACGTACGTACCAGAACTTTGCTTGATCGGACAGTCTGACTTCCAAACCATAGCTAGGCTATGACAAGTATAATTTTTTCTTTCGTGACTCGCGAGAGCCTATTAGCGAGGAAAAGGAAAAATGATGGTATCGGCATACCATCGACCGAAACTTTTTTCTTTCCCATCAGACTCGCGAGGGCACAGTGGACACAGTCCAGAACAATTGAGTGCTAATCGAGCACTAGCCTGTCTTGCATATCCCTAGAAGTCTGCAGGGCTGCCGCAAATTGGCTTGGTGGGTTGGACGTACATGGTACGGCGTACGCAGGGTAGGTACTGTAAGGCCAAAACGGGCTGGTAGAATTGGATTGCCTTTTGCCAATGTTCTGGGCCAGTCTGGGGAGCTAATCGAAAAAACGATTGGCTCAGGGAGCTTGCAGCCAGATTGGCCGGGAAACAAGTTCAGGGGCGTGGCGTTGGCGCACTCTGCGTAGATAGTAAGTCCACAGCTTATCGATGAGCACACGTATGTGTGTATGCTGCCGCCATGAAAGGCCATGAAGGTGGCGACGAGGAAAAAGGAGCTTAGTTGCTCACAGATATCGAGCTAGTCAACCCTAGGCAGACCATACAGAAGGAGTATAGTCATTGCCTCTTGATAATGATTGTTGAGCGTCTACCCAACGATATCTTGGTGAGATATTGAATCAGCGCCATCCTCGAAAATAGACAGGCTACTCCAAACCGGCAATGTGAAGCTGAAAAGTAGTCAGCTGCCGCGCCTCATGACCGTTAAACCAAAAGGTAGGATATCGAAAGCTTAGCTTTCAGCATCAGCGACAGCACATGCATTGATTATGGAAACTCAAGTAAGCCAGGATGCTTTTGGAATCGACCTCCAACGTAGCGGGACCAGTAGTGCTGCGAGAAATGATGCGTGTACAGAAGTACAGCTTCAACCATGCTACTGCGGCGAGATTTGCAACTCATACAACATGCAACGATTTGGATCTAAATCTTCAAATACAGGGGTGTAGTGCTAATCGGCGTAGAACTGGGGCAATCCCTGAGCGTGGATGCTGAGCATAGGCGTGTTGTGTATGCGAGGAGGACAAGTGAAGGGCCAGAGGGTAGCGCCGCAGTAAGGGGGCAAGCCTGGGTACATGCCAAGCGCGTCCCGGTTCAAAGTTCTAGCCAACGGCGTCTCGGTGAAATAGTATCGGCGTCATCCTCAACGCATTGGTGACATCAAGTGGAATGGGTGACTGATGCTAGGATGACCAATGAATCGATGGATGTGATTCTGTGCATCTCGGACCATAAGGCTACCGCAGCGAGATTTTGCAACCGGCGGATCAGAGCAAGAACCTGCACGGACCATAAACACGTCCACCCAGGGCCCAAGTCGCAAAGACCACATCAAGACTGCACAACAACATTCTCCTCCAACCACCCCCTCACATCCTTCTTACCCACCAATCTCAACACCCTCATCCTCTCCTCAGGCGTGCGATCGCGATACAAGCGCATAACATACCCACAAACGCTCCACACGTCCTCCCAAGGCGCATCAAAGAGGTCCCACCAGCAATGAGGCGGAGAAGAAGGTAAGGAAATGTCAAGTTGACGAGAGGTGAGGAGAATTGCGGCGCTGACTATCGTTGGGACGGCGTATAGCGCGTAGACGGGTGTTTGTAGGCTATAGCGCTGCGTTCAAATGTGCGACCAAGTCTGAAATACGAGTCCTACTCACGCATCGTTGAGGTATCCCCATGCTTTCGCACAAGCGTCTTTCCGACTCGTCAACCCCAGAACGCGCAAATAGTTTATAAGCGTCCCGTACGGCAGAACCACATGGACGTTGAATCCCAATCGCTTGAGTATTTGCATCTCAGCTACGACCAGGGCATCTTTCAGGTCGTAGAACGTGTTTCCAAAATAAGACATTGGAGCGTATTTGAAGGGTTCTTTGCCTTTGGGCGAAGCGGAGAGGGTGTGCGCTGTGCGTTGGAGAAGGAGGTCGTATATGTTGATGAGGTCGCGCGTGCGGAGCGGGCATTCTTCTAGTTTTGATGCGAGGTACAAGGCTCCCATTCCGACGTCCTGTGTTATAATGTTGGTTCATGTGGTCCAAAAGGCAGGATTTGATGTGGCGAGGACTCACCCCGATACCAAACTGTTTCATGGAAGTTGCATACCAGAAACGCTGAAACAGAATCTGGGCTGTAGCCACAGCGACTTGTTTCCTGTCCGGAGGATTGAGAATTGACTGTAGACGCTGCGCTGGGGTATGAGACGTACTGTTTCAGCAATATACCAGCTTCATGAATGAGTTTGCAACCAAATGCCCTCAGGTCCTCTTCCAAGTCCGCAGGTATACCATCTTCTCTAGAAGGCGTGCGCTCTATTTGGGATGTCGAAGCTAGCGGGACCAGATCAGCAGGCATGTTCTTGACTTTGAGGGACGTCGTAAAGTTACCAAAGTCGCACTTATTGAATTCAATCTCCGCGGCACTACATAGTACCCTTCACAAACTTCGACAGACTTATCATTGCAACTTTCAATGAGCGGTCTACCTCCCAAACCAGAAGTCGGCAGAACATCAAGTAGCTGGCCTGAGCCTGCTGACGACAGGCGCTATTCAGGACGGCCGGTGCCAATGGCTGGGCCAGACCATTACCGCAATCGACGCGACGACAGAGACAGAGACAGAGAAAGAGACAGAGACCGTGACAGAGACAGAGATCGCGAACGAGACAGAGAACGAAGCTATCATCCTCCCCGGTCACCACCACCACGGTCTCCGCCACCTCGGGGAAGAGATACTTACACCTCACCTTCCAGGAACGACAGCCATCGTGACTACTACCACCGTGACGAGCGTTCTAGAGGAGAGAGGGGATGGGAGCCAGACAGAAGGGCTTCGGAACGTAGGGACGACAGGGCTTGGACGCGTGATGAACATACAGGGAGGGGGCGAGGGCGAGGTAGGGGTCGTGCATCGCCGCGCAGAGGTACTTATCAGGTTGGAAGCTGGCGAGTTCGTGATTCGGAGCGAGATAGGGACTATGGAGGAAGGAACAGGAGTCGAGAATACGACAGGAATAATTACGATAGACGAAGATTCGATGATAGGGAGAGGTCGAGTACACACAGACCTCCGTATTCTCCACGCCAAGGTACGTGATGCACCCAAAAGCATGTTATTGACTCAATTATTTTGTAGATTCGAATGAGCGCCGTCGGGAGCACTATTCACCCACAAAGTCTCCTCGTCGTTCATACTCACCCCGACGACACAGCAGACCACCCTCTCCTGATGGCAGTACTCATCGACATTCACCGAGATCTCCAGTAAAGCATGAGCCAGGGCATTCTCCACATCCACCTTCAGCGCCCCGAAGTCACTATTCAGACCACCGCGTCGACGACAGGCGACGCGGGAGTCAGACTCCTAGTCCCCGTCCTGCAAGGCGCTCATTGTCACGAGATACCAAACCCGAGCCTGCGCGTGAAGAAACGCATCTGTCAGCTTCCCCTGCACGGTCGCTTCGCGCTCCAGATGAGAAAACATCCAACAAGTCTGCCTCTCCACATGCCAAACCTGAACCTCACGATGACATACAACATGTTCATCTCAAAGTCGAGCCAGCCCCTGAAGACGCACATGTCGGTCACTCTCCAGCTTCAAGCTCAAAAACCAAGGATGAGCCCGCAGACCAAGATGCCGAAGGAGACTTTAAAATGCGCGACCGCTCTCCTGATCCACCCTCTCACTCTCCCCATCACGCTGTCAGTGCCCGAGTCAAGACGCCTCCAACACCAGCATCTCCCGCGCCTTCCCTCAAACAACCAGTGCCCGAAGAACCCCCTGCTGAAATGCCCAAACCACCCACAGCTCCTTACTTACCCCCCTCCACAAGACGCGAAACTCTCAAAGATCGATTAGGCCAAAAATACAAGGACGAAGTAAGCCTTCCACTCGTTCCTATCGCCTCCCACTAACACGTTCTCAACACAGCTCTCCCAAATCGAAGCCATCGAAGCCAGCCGTTCGCGCGCAGCATCAGAACAGGTCCAAATATCCAAAGCCGTCCGTCGAGCACTCCACGAACTAGACATCACGACCATAGACCTCCGCGCAGCTCAAATCAGACGCGAGCACGCAGAAAACCATCGCAAGAAAGCTGCTACCGGATTCTTGGATATCGATGCAGAGTTCTCTACAACCTAAGCCCTAGACCACTAGCTGCGATGGGGTGGCTGATTTATGTAACCGGCGGCGCGGATGGCTAATAATACTTCTTATAATACTGCCTGATCAGGTCTTTTGTATCTTCTTACAGACGATGTGCGTTTGATGGTAGAGCGCTATAGAAACCTTGCTTCTACGCCGTGGTGAGAAACAGCTGCGTTGATCGTGGAGCGTACAGTCTGCATGAACTTGAAACAACTGGGTACGCAGCGCGGTTGGATCGCGGCGGAGAAACTCGCGAGGGGTTTGACGTACAATAATATATTCGCGGCGACAGATTTTAGACTGGGACGGATCCGGGCTGAGAGTTGCTAGTGCCATCGAATGTATACATGGTATCTGAACGCCGCCCTCGTCAGGGACGCGAGCCAAAGACTGGGACTAGCAGAACTTGCGGAAATGAACGTATTCAGAGCGGCGTGCCATGGTTATGCCGTGCGGTCCAATGATAGAGTTGAGACGTCATGTTGGTGGAAACGCACTACAGCTTGCAAGTGGAAAGCGGTAATTGTGTGGGGCCATGCATATGCTACGATTCCACTATCTGAGGGTTCAGATCAAATGCTATGTAATACTGTACAATGTGGAGTTAATGCTGGTAATATGATTGTAACTTGCGGTGCTCTGCCAATCGTGTGCAGATGGCGAATGGAAAGGTACTGCGTGTGCGAATTAAGCTGTGTATAGAAGCGCGGTGAGGCGGCAAAATATGTGGCAGGGATCAAGTGGCAAAAATGGTGCCGTGAAAAAAAAGACTGGTATACATAGTCAGGCGAATTGGCGGCATAATACGAATATGGACTGTAAAGGTAACGAGGTTAGGCTGCAAGTTTCCATTGTTCACGGAGGGTTTTTACTAACCAAACGCAAAATCCGCACGGGAAGGAGGTGTTAATATGAACCGGAGAAGCATGCCCCTAAAGATGGGCAATCATCATCGTAAGCGATCACGCCGGGTGGCCGTATATACGTGAGAACGGCCCTGTGTGGCTAAACTGCCGGTGTAAGCTTGGCGGTGGACACCGGCTGCCCAGCGTTGTACGCCAGCATGGCGGCGTTTTAATCGCAGATGATGTTTCGAGTCATGGTCGTCGTCGCCGTCGTCTTTGTCGTCACGTTTTCGTTTGGGGGGTCTGTGTGTGTAGGGTGGGTGTGACAAATCTTCGTCGGGATCGGGAAGATCGAATTGTAGGAAAGTGGGGGAGTGATATGGAAGTGGGCGAGGTGCTACGAGAGGAATGTCACAGACTACACGGATAGTAACTGGCTCCGGAGAGGGTGATAGATCGGTTGAGAACGAGGAACATGTTTCAGAAGGAGACGGGGGAACTGGTGATGCTAAAATTAGGAGGTGAATTTTTGAGGAATTGAAAGAGATGACTTACAGTGAAATGGGGGCATGATATAGGTAGGAATTTTACCTTTGTCGAATGTATTCCAAGGGGTAGGAATATTGAGCTCTTGTGATAAAGACCACCAATCGTCGAATAGGGCGTTACTGTCATGGAGGACAGTGCCCGATGACCAGCAGTCAGGCGATAGAAGAGACATGGTGATGACGGTGAGAGAAGGAACAAGAATTGAATTAGACTAAGGGTCTTATATGGGTGCTGGAGTGAGACCTTCGGATAAAGGCATTGAGCAGGAACGCCATAGCTACGTAAGGATCTTGAACGCAAGGAGGCCACATCACATGTAGAGATCAGGGATATAAATGATTAAGGGGGGGGTGTTTCAATTGCATATAATAATTGTTTGACGGATTCAGGTGGCTCTGCTGGCCTTGTTCATGGCAGAAGAATGGCAGCAATTGGCGTGTTAATTGACAGTTTATTGACTTTTTAAGAATTATTTAATTTCAAATTCCGATCTCAGGTTTCAACGCTGAGAGGGCTGACGACGGACCGCAGTCAGTTT